TACCGACGTGCGGGCCCTTTCCCCTTGTAGGTACGGGGGGGGGGCGAAAAAGCAGACCGGAGTCCCTCACCCCAGGGTGCAGGTGCAGCCAGTACACTATGTAGTGGATGCTGAAAAATAGCAGGAGCATTTGTTTTACTGTTGGAATTTGGAAAGTTAATCTAACAGAGCAGAGCGACCTACCTGTAGTCACACACCCAAGGGTTTCCTTCCAGTTTCAGTTGCGAGAGGAAGTAAAGGTCTTCGAGAACGCCATACTGGATGAAATGGAGACCATTGTCGGCCAGGTCTAACTCCCGGAGGTGCAGCAGTCCAGAAAGGGAGGCTGGTTAGAAGGAAAGAAAAACACATCGGCACGGCAGCCATTATTTTCTTTTACCTCTTGTTGTAATTAGGTTAAGTTAAACCTATGTCTATTAAAAAATATCAAAGAAATATATCAGGTTGCCTCCTAATGACTGGAGGGCAGTAGTTTCCATTCATTACAGTCAATATTTTACAATTAAAAAACAGCTTTATCTGCTCTATGTATTTAATTTTATTCATCAGCGTCCACTAAAAGAGACTGTTGGGTGTAAAATAACAAACACCATTTTACCTGGGTCAATGTGTTCAATGTTGTTATTGCTGAGGTTAAGGGACTTGAGGCTCCGTGCAGTTTGGAAATCCTTGGCTCGGAGACGATGGATTGAATTAAAGGAGAGATCGATTTGAACCACATCGTCTGGAATACCTGTAGGCACCTCAGTTAAACCTGCACACAAGAAGGAAGGGATTACTCAAATAAGTGTGGTTACCTGATTTTCCTTCCAAGTATGTAAAACAAAAAAAATAACCTGAGCTGAGTTACTGTGAGTCCTTTAGGTAAAGACTATCGCAGAGCTGGACACTTTTACAGTATGATGTGAGCAAATATTTGATGTCTAGGCCTCTAACCAAATAGTAGACAAATAGTAATAACACATCGCTTAATCACGTAAGTTATCATCTGAATGAAAAATAATTATTTTAAATACTCATGTCATGTCTGTTTATCTGGTTCTTTCTGAGCTTTAAATACCAATATAAAACAGATACAGTGGACTGGAAACCAATGATGATAAAAATTCATAATAATTCTACTCTACTTTGTCATGTATACATCTGGCTCTGAAAATCTCTTGACAAACTAAAGAACTAAGTTCTTGATGAGTAATGTCATTTTAGACAAACACACTCAAACACTATCTCTGCCAGGAGGTTCGTTTTTTTGTCTGCATTTGCTGTCTTGACTGTTGGTAGTAAGGTATAAACAATGTTTTTGGATTTAACAAAAAAAATCCAGATGCTTATGCCATACACATAACAGAATAATGGAAAATGTGAGCATGAAGAAAAAGATCTGGATACGTAAAACACAGATAAAATCAAAACAAAGCTGGAAAAATCTCTTCAAAAATAAACCTCTTCTCCTGAATGTTAAATAAATAACCCGACAGATGACTAACACCAATAAGCTCAGACTTGCCTCGTTTGCTGCAGTCCATTCGCATTTCGGGAAAATGATAAGTGTGGCAGGATGTAGTCGCATCTGGTTTCCCCTGATATGGGATTGGATTTACTGGGAGTGAGTTTCCAGTTTGGTCGCCCTGTGGATCATTAGCTGGGTCTGGTTCTTTACAGAGTAACTCGGGGTCAACTTGTTTCAACTTGGTGCCTTTCAGTCTGATTGGCTCTGCACACCTGGTAGAGGAAATACAGTTCAAACATCAATGGATATTTCATCACTAAACAGTCGATTAGTACCGTAATTTCTGGACTATAAGCCGCTACTTTTTTCATACGCTTTGAACCCCGAGGCTTAAACAATGATGCCGCTAATTTATGGATGTTTACGTGCTAACGAAGTTCATACAACTCGCAATCAAGGACTTTTCTGGTGGGCAACTGTGTGTTACACTCGTAGTGTAGGTCTGTCTGTAAATGGCTGTGTGTGTATACAGTATATGCGTGGGGCGCGTGAGAGAGAACGGCAGCGAAAGTTGAGAGCAGTTTGAGCCCTGTCATGTTGTGCTCGGTGTGGCTGATAATAATGACTCCAACTTCCCAGTTTCTATTTACCTCTGCTGCGGACAAGCACAAAGTGAAGGGAGTTAGCCCCGGAGCTAATGTTAGCTTCGGTTGTGTATTCCAACTACGGTCGGGTGTTAGAGGCACTGTTCGGAAAAAGGCTTTTATTTAATTAAAAGTGAAAAACTTTTTTGTGTAAATATCCCTTGTTAGCCTCGTGCGGCTTATAGAGAAATGTGGCCTATATATGTAAAAAAGAAATTATTTTTAAATTTAGTGGGTGTGGCTTACATTCAGGCGCACTCAGTCCAGAAATTACGGTATTTCCAGTTTGTGTTTAGAAATCAAAAATGTGAGTTTAAAAAATCTTTCACCTGGCATGATTTCCTAAGTTGCGGTTACTCGGGACTTGAAGGGTGCGAACAAGGCTGTCCATGCTGCAGTTGCAATTCAATGGATTATCATACAGACGCAGATAACGAAGATTTGGCATGGGAATAAGGGCCTCGTCGGCTATCGAGCCCAGATTGTTATGCTGCAGCAGCAACGTTTTAAGTTGTCTCAGGCCTTGGAAGGCTCCGTCCTCCACTACAGAGATCTGGTTCTGCTGCAGATCCAGAGTGACTAAGTTGCCGTACTGAATGAAAGCCCCATCTCGAAGGGATTTGATCCTGTTACGTGCCATAAGGAGGTGCTTGGGTTCTTTGGACCAGGTTTCAAAGATGGGAATAGAGGTGAGGCGTCGCTCCTGACAGTCTGCAAATACTTCACCAGATTCCAAGGTCTCTGTGCAGTTAGGTGTCCTTTGCCTGGAGGATTCCGACCTGCTTTGACGTCCAGGACCTCTTAACCTGGCAGGTTTTTATATAAAAAAGAAAGAAAGATAAGGAGAGCCAAAATTTGTGAAATCCTTTATTAGATTTATTAGAATTAGAAGAATTACAGATGAATCTAAATCCAAACCTGTCCCTTGTAAGTTTATGTCGCAATCCCTTCAGGCCTTTTCCCTTCCCTGACCTTTTCATGTCAGCGCAGGAGAGCAGGAGGAACAGCACAGAGGCTCCCAGGAGGCAGGATGCTGGACGCATCTTGAGCTCTGCAGGGATTTGTCTTCCTATTAAAAGATCTGGAGGCAAAACAGGGGTTTAGATATAGATATGAAAAGTCTAACAAAACCTGTTTTAAAATAGAAGCCGAGGGAACACAGTGTTGTTGATGAAACCCTGCTGCTGCTGCTGCCACTGCTGCTGCTTTGGTCATTTCATGTTATGTAAGAGGAGAGCGAGATGTCCAGGAATGTGTATACAGACTCCAACGTTGTTGCTCTCTTACAAGATGTTGTATATATTACATTAAATAACTGCTACAGTTATTATTGTTAGCTGATTGTTTTCTAAATAATTTGTAAGGAAAGTTCCATCAACAAAATTGGTGAGATCACTGTAATTTAAATTAGTAATTTAGCTAACTAATGAGTTGACAAATTTGTTATTGATCATTGATTGATGTTTTATATTATCAATCATTTTACACATATGTGTTTAGCAGATGCTTCTATCCAAAATGATTTACAGGAGGAGGATTAACAATCGAGCATGTGGTTCTTCTGGAAATCAAATCCAGAACTCTCTGCTGCCGTGGCAGACATACTAACCACTACACTATAGAATATTTATTTATTTAGTTCCCAAAAATAGTCAAAATTGAAACCACTTAATAGAAATTGTAAAATTTTAGAGCTAAAAATGCAAAACACAGGTTAGCTGTGGAATAATCATGATTATTTAATTAAAAACTTTAAGTTTGCATGCTCTATAGATAAAAGGTTAAAAGACCCAACTTCCACACATAGACACTATATATATATATATATATATAAATATATATATATATATATATAAGACACTCATCTGTGATCTTGTCGTCTGGGGACAGTGCTAACTGACACATTTGTTTGGTTGATATTTCATGTATGGAACACAGTGTTCGATGCCAGTGCAGAGATCCAAAGAACAGCTCTGGTCATTTCAACATGACTATATAATTGCTTTCTTGATAGATCTGTGGATTCCAGAGTTAATGCATCAGCTCTACTTGTAAGCAGTGTTACGCAAGATGTTAGGACCTCTCAGCTAAAATTAACACCATACATGTCAGTGTTTTGTTTTAAAATGAACAAGTAGATGGCATATATCAAGTTGCTTTTTGTTTATGTAGCTAGATTTAGCGACTTGGCATTGAGCATTAAGTGCTGTGTTTGTACGTCTCCCTTGCCTTCTTGTCTAAGTGTATAGGAGAAAAAATATGGTAACTTTACAAAACAGCTTTCATAGAAAAAAAGCTCACTGCCACAAGCATGGGCAAACTAAGGCCCGGGGGCCAGATGTGGCCCGTTCAGCCTGCCAACCTTGTCCAAATTATATATTTGGTTTGTATTATATTGTATATGATACTTCAGTCTTTTCTCTGCAATGCCAACATTTTCCTATAGATGCGGTAGAGAAGGCTAAAAGAATTTTAGCATTTTAGCCTTTATGCATGACTTTTACATCATCGTCATTCATCTAAGTTCACACAAACGCTCCTGACCTGGCCCACCTGTCAAGATTTTAGGACCAATTGTGGCCCGCAAGTCCAAAAGTTTGTCTAGGATGTGAATTAGTGCCCTTTTTGCTGCGAGGTAGTGATGGAAGTATTGATACTGAGGTATCTATATATTAATACTCACATAGGTATCGATCAAGTATTGATTACTCTCATAAAGTATTGATACTAATTAATAAACAAAATAAGGACACAATTATTAAAAATTCCGCTTTCTCTCGTCAATGCTATGAGGTGACACCTCTGACCTCTACACCACTGTGTAACTAATTACCCAGTGGTGTTCATACTTACTGTATTGAGAAAGTTCAGTTGCAGAGTGACATAGTGGGACAGATGTGGCCCTCACTATGACAACACGGCCGAAGCGTTGATACATGTGTTGCTACAACCCTTAGCAAGTCATTAGCGCCCTCCCCCACTCTCGCGTGAGGGCAGCAATGTTTCAGAAGTTGGTCATTTATTTACATGTCACCATTGTTTTTCTCACACATCTTGATGTGTTATGTTAGCCAACCAGAAAAAAAAAACAGTCTTTACCATAAAAACAGATATCTAACCCACAGTAATAAATTGACAGGTCAAAACGTTCTTTACCTGACCACAGGGAAGCACGGCCACCGTGTCACCCTCTCTATCTGATCCCCGTGGAATTGTTTTACTCCTGAAGATTCAGGTCGGAGTCGCTGAAAAACAATTCCAGTCACTGCTGCTCTGTCAGCACGTGTCTCCACTTGTTGGCCGTTAGCGTTCGTTCTTCGTCAATGCTCAAAGGGAATGGATGAAAACCTGGAGGAGAAGTAGAGTGAAAGGTAGTTGTAGTCAAGCAGAGGGTTGGGTTTGCAGTCAGCCCCGGCCCACCCTCTCAAGATGTGCACCCACCATCCTGACACACATGCTCCAAAACATAAAACACAGTTTGGGTCTGGAACATTATGTTTGTTCTGTCAGGGTCCAGATGTATGTTTTCATTTTATGGGGCCCGGGAAATATGAGAATAGCAGAGAACTGTATTTCAGAAAATGCTTCAGATTTTAACAGGAAAAGTACAAATATTTCCCTCCTCTCTGCTCAGAGATGACACTAAACTTTTTTTTTTTTTTTTTTGCCTTTCACTCTGACTGAAGTGTTGGCGATGACATGCACAGAATGTAAGACAGCGGTGTGTCTGAAACGCAGACTTATTTTTGATGCTTTAGATGTTTTTGCCAGAGAAAATAAGGAATGAATTAGAAAAGAATGTGAACCACTCTGGGTCTTTTCTTCACATTTTTCGTGGTGAACAGTGTGAATCATCATCTTTAACAGGCTCCATTTGCTGTAATTCACTGTATGTCTGCCATTTTTCCTTTGGATGCTTATTGTCCTACAATGCCACAAAAACCACCAAAGAGTTCTTGCACAGGTCATTTAGAGGTGAGGCCATTAAATCCTGATACAGCCCTTTCTTCCTGCACCCCACAACACCAAAGGTAAGACCAGGAAAGGTATCACTGAGGAAAAAAAATAATACATTTTGTATATTAGAGAGAGATTTTGTCCTTTTCTAGCCAACATTCCTTCATAACATTCCTAAGTTTTAACACAATTGAACTTAAGAACAAAAGTTAGCTTTGTTTTTTTTTTTCAACCTTAGGGTCGCAAACCCATGTGGGGTCACGTAGAATTCAAATGGCATTGTCTGAAATATCTTGTAATTGATTAAAAAAATTACCGATAAAAAATGTTTCAACTAATTATTCTTTTTTTAATTAAATCCGATTGAAAACACAAACTCAAACAACTGCATTTCTTCACTCACATGACATAAACGTCTGAATAATATATATATATATATAGGCTTATACTGGATATATGAGGTCTTCATCCCCTTCTGCGTGTTCCAGTGATCCTGTGTTTCCAGCCTGTTTAATATTCCTGGACTCTGCCACTGCCTGGCAGTTTGTTACTGCAGTGGATTTCTGTTTGTTATTTCACGTCTAATGCGAGTCGTTTCACATGACCTTTTTGTGTGTCAGTGTCAGACTGGTGTGTGTGAGTCCAGAGGCCTGTGTTCTAATAATACATCAACGCATTTAGTAAAGCATCTAAGTCAGTGGTGCCCAATTAGGAGATTGCAATCTACCAGTTGATCGCAAAATAGTTTATTCTATGTCTAGATGAAATCTCTAGGGCTTAATTAGTAATAATTTAAGTATTAAATCATATTGTGTCACACAGCTGAATGCATTAAAATTGAAGTACCTCAACATATCATATATAAGAATATTCACCCTATACAGGTAAGTATATATTTGATATTATCAGTAGATCATTTTAGCCTGGTCATTTGAGAAAAGTAGCCCTCGTAGCCCCAAAATAAGAGTGGACACCCCTGATCTGAAGCCTGTCTGGTCTCCACTGGCTTGTGTACAGAACCTTGAGTCAGCAGCTGTTGAAATTCTCATGTTGATGTCTCTCTTGGAAAGAGAACATTAGTCTCTCTGTTAGGTACATTTCTGAAAAATGTTGCCCGAGTACAAAGACAGAATATTATATGGAATATTCATTCAAAATGTCATAATGAATGTCCAGCAGGTGGGGCAAGACCTCTGCACAATCCCAAAATGAATGGCAACGATAATCTAAAATTAAACTGTACGTCCTACTACAAACCAAACCACTGTCTCTCCTGTCCAGGACTAATATTTATCCCTCGTGCAGCTGTGGGAATAAGTGGTTTTCCACTCCAGTCCTCACAATCCCTGGTGATTGATATACAATTTCATTAGTTTCAATTTCCACTACTAAAGATGTGCAACATCAACATGAACAAAATGTCTATGTCCAATGTACAAAATGTAGTAAAAAAAATATGCAAAAAGGCCATATTGGATGTGTGATTCAAATATAAACATTTATTTTTGTAAATTAACAAAACATACACAAAAATTGCGCAACACTCCAGCTGTTGAAAGTAATTTGTCTGTGAGGATTCTCTTTAATCCAGATCTCGGATGTTGTAAAAGACCAGACCGCGGTCGACGCCAACAGAAGCAAAGTGGTGCAAACCTACAAACAACAGTCTCGTCATTCCTGACTCAGCTTCAGTGAGTCAAACCAGCTTTGGGTCCTCAGTGTTACAGAGCCCGTGTCTGTCTGAGCTTGAATGGACTGGCCCGCTGCAGAGGCTCCATTCATGTAGCCTGAAGAAAATGAAAGAAATGTGAATGTTCACACCTTTGTATTGACTTAAGAAGAATTCAGCATTTTAGTCAGGGGTGCCCAACCACTGGGCTGGGGACCAGTACTGAGCCGCAGCTCGTTTATCATGTTCTAAATGGTGATGCATAGTGTGTCCACCAGCCTGTGATCAGTAGTTAGACATGACAATCAATAACTAACCCTTCAGTGTGGTTTGGCTGTGGTCTGTGTGGGTTTCTACTTCTGACAAAACCACCTCTGGGCTGATTTCCACAGACGCCCCACGGAGCTCCACCCCTGCTCTGAGGGAAGACGGGACCCGCACACACACTCCACCTACAGTACAGTGCAGTAAATGAAGAACAAAACAACAAGTTATTAAACTGTCAATGAAAACATGACTCAATCGGTCGATTCAAACATATCCTTCTTAAAGAGTGTGTTTTGACCTTTGTGGCTGTGAAGGTTAGCACTGCTGTCATCTCCCACATAGACATCAATGGCTCCGCTATGAGATGAAACGTTCAAGGAACCATTTGAACCATCTGCAGAGCAAAGCAAACCTCACTTTTTTTTACAAAGAAACTTTGATCTGTGCCTGCCGTGGATTACTGTGTGACAAGTCGCCCTCCTTACCTATGACCGTGTCTCCATGCACATTCTTCACCACAGAGTTGCCTTTTAAACAATATTAAAAACACATGCGGGTTCAGTAACTTATGCAACAGGCTATAAAAGAACTGTTTAAGTCAATGGAAACTATGACACAATCTCCCCAGTGACGCATCTCTTACTGTATGTACTAAAAAAACGAACATAAAAAAACAACATCCAGATCGTGTGGATTTACAAGGTAATCGTTTCAATATTCCCTGCAATTATACGCAGACTTGTGACGAAACCATTCTGAGATCATGATGCATTTTTCCTTACTTCCTGTCACGTTACAACGTATTGGCTGATGGCCTGTTTTGTCAGCTAGTCTTCCAGCAGCGAGGCTTTTTCCCACAACACTGTTTTATAGTGTCTTTAAAACAAGCAAGTACATAATATGTGATTAATTGCAAACACATTGTTGACTGGCTGGAGCAGAGCCTAGGATTCCTGACGTGCCTCAGTTCTGCTTTGCCATTGAATTGAACACACTGCAGCTGTATCACAGAGGTTCACAAAGGTTCAAGGACAGTGCACGTCTTCTGAACAGGATCACCTATTAGTCAGAGTTTTCCACACATGCTACAGTGTGTCAGTCATAACTTCGACTACAGCAGTACTTCTCAAATAGTGGGGAAGGCCCCCCTGGGGGGGGGGGGGGGTGAGGATCTTCCAATGGAATATGGCACGCTGGACATAAGTGTACCACTGCTGTAATACTTGAATGATAACAAGCCTCCAGTTTCTGGGTGGCAGCATCTCAGTCAGTGGTTTGTACAGATAATAAATATCAGGTTCTCAATAGTATTTCAATTTGTGGACATGTGGTTTGGGGTTATTGTCATTAATCATAATGTATCAGACTTATTTATTTAATCAAAATGATTTACTCATTATTTACCTAAAGGCAACTATGGAAAAAACAAAATGTGATGCAATTAATAAAGACCCGGAAATAGACAAGAACTTGCAAAGATTTGCAGATAAAGCTACTTCAAGTAAAAACTTTTGCTACATGATAAATTAAATGTTGGATCTACAAAACACAAAGTAACAAAGTTATCTCTAAAATGGGGTGTAAAACAATTGTATACATAGAACTTAAATAACTGACAGCAGTGAAGTGGATATAGCCTGGGAAACCTCCAAGTGCCTAGAACAGGCATGGGTAAACTAAGGCCTGGGGGCCGGATGTGGACCGTTCAGTTTATAAATCCAGCCCGCCAAACTTTTCCATTTTATGCAATTTATTTACATATATTATCATTATACTTCTGTCTTTTCTCTGCAATACCCATGTTTGAAAATAAAAATGATTTTATCCTTTATGCATGACTTTAACATGTCATTTATCTTAGTTCACACGAACGCTCCATCGATCTGTTCCTGACCCGGCCCCCTGTTCACTTTTAGGACAATTGTAGCCTGCGGGTCAAAAAGTTTGTCCACACCTGGCCTAGAACAATTGGTGGTGGTTAATAGTAGTTAGCGATAGTTGCGGCTGGTAACTCACCTTGTATGTGTCCCAGCTGGATTCTTCCAGAGCTGGAGGAGATGCTGCTGGACTCAGAGTAGATGACTTTGACTGACAGAGGGCCATGTTCTGTTGAAACGTTCATGCTGGTTCCCTGCAGCTTCTTTACATCTACTGCCTGCACAATGCACACAACTGATCACCGTACAATGTCATGATCAGGTGACCTTTGATTTAAACTTTATTTTTTAACATCTGACCTCCATGCAGGGTGACAGATGTGGTTAGGTGGAATGGATTTTCAGATGCAGTGCCTGCGTTTCTATTCTATTCTATTCAAATGATGGCATAGAAAAGGCTAAACGGATTTTAGCATTTATCCATGACTTATACATGTCATTTGTTTTTATTCTTCTGGGTTCCTGACACCCCCCCCCCCCACCCAATTTTTAAACCCCTTTGGGTCAAATTTTGCCCACGCCTGTGCTAGGCAATGGTATGTTGTATAACACATTAGATTTCTGTTGCAGAGCAGAGAGCTCACATTGATCCTAAAAATAAAACCAGGTCTGTTTGTTTTCTCTACAACAGCAACTGAGTTGCAGGCAGTTGCATGTTGTATGGTAAAAGTTTCAAAGTGTTCAGTCACTGGATTGTGGCTGTGGATGAATAAGTGTGGACTGTTAGACAGTTGCATTTCTGTGTTCTGGCTGCTGCTGCCCCCTAATGTCTATTGAGTGTGAGCTCAGTAATCCTTACACTGTCTCCATGTGTTTTGATGCTGACATTACCATGGATGGTGCCCACAGCTGTCACGTGTCCCCCATTAGACTGTACCTCAACCTGGTGACCCTGAGAAAACAAGCAAACAAACAAACAAACACACAAACAAACAAAAACACAGCCTGTAATTATGTCGCTGTGTATAGTTTCAGGAACTGTTACTTTGTTGTTGTTTTTTGCTATTTGTTTTACTTTGTTTTTCATAAGTTTGCAAGACAAAAGTCATACGTTTACAAGATTAAAGTCATAAGTTTACAAAAAAATAAAGTCAAATTTACTAAACTAAAGCCAAGTTTACAAAACAAAGCAATGTGTTTACAAGAATAAAGTCATAGATTTACATGATTAAAGTAGTAAGTTTGGAAGATCCACTCACCAAGATGAACAGCATTATTAGACGTGCATTTTGTGTTTAGACCTCACCTCAAATATTATGACTTTATTTTCATAAATGTATGACTTTTCCAACATTACAATACTTCATCGCCAATAATAATAATAATAATAATGATGATAATAATAAGAATTGTATCGTCTCCTGTCTTGTGTCGTGCCCGCACTAACCTTAATAGAATGCAACAAACAGTTGCCTCTTTCTGTTTGCACCTTGCAGACGTTACATTCCATCTTTTTCACTTCCACATCACCACTTCCACGAGTGGTAATAAAGAGATCTGACAGGAAAAAACACAAGATGGAATTATTCATATTACAAACGAATTTTGTAACACAATCCCGATTTAATGTAATGTAAAAAAAAAGTATTGTAGAAGGGTCCAATTTTCCCGATGAATACTAAGAACCAAAATGGACGTGTAAAAATAATTCTTCTTCCACAAATACCGCTATTAATGGGCGCAGCCAGATCCACGGACACTCCGTGGTCCACCTGGTCAGCAGAGATGAGCAGCTCGCTGCTCTGGTCATCGTAATGTACCCGGACATGGTCCAGAGATCTCTCCAGCTGCTCCCCGCAGCCGTGCACCGTCAGAATGGCTCGGTCAGCCTCTGGGAAGGTGTGAGGGTCCAGAGGGCTGACAGAGATGTTACAGGTCAGCTGTGCCCGCACGCTGCTCATGGGACTCATGGCCACAGTCCACCTCTTCACAGGCGGCTTCACACCCTCACCTTGTGCTGGGACAGAGGTGCAGAAAGACTCGTCTTGGAGACACCCGGGAGAGGACAGAATGATTTGCCTTGTTGTAAGGCACAAGAAACGGTAACGGAGTCCGACACATGTCCGCTGACCTACAGAGCTCCAAAACATCCTGTAACCTACAAACTCCGCTACAGTTCCGGCAGCGCAAAACGGCAAAATACATACATTTCCGGTTTGACCTTTCACATTAAAGCACCACCTACGATCTTTTAGAAGAGAACTCAAGTAATTCCGACGCCATCTTGTAGACTTTAAGAGTACTGCAGGCAATCCGTTGGAAGTCATTGCATTGAAGTAAATACATTTTAAACAAAAACTATATGAAATCGTACCTTGATTGATTAATCACACTGCAGATTTTTTTATTTAAATTAATTTATCACATTAAGTTAAACAATTTTAGTTTGAATGTCTACCCTTATTTCTTAGAGAAAAGGCACAAATCACATAAACAAAATGCGATTTCATGTTAAATATTCTTTAATATTACTAAATAATTATAATTTAGTTACAAAACATTCGAAACACTTTCAAACGTATCACTGACCTTCAAATTAAGAGAAAAAAAGTCTCTGTTGTTTCCAAAGGTAGTCATGTAAAATAAACACTTTCCTGACAACAAGCTGATCATAGATCACCTTGGTACATCCAAGTTCATTCTTGTAATTACCAAACAGCGAAAGCCTGTAAAATCATACGCCACAAGGAGGCAGCATTTACTTAATAGTGCACAGTTATTGTGTTGAGAGAGCACGAATACAAGTTTTACCATAAATGCAGTTCAAGGATCAAACCTTTTCGGTCTGATCATCATCCTGACTGTTTTAAATGAGTGTCTGTAATTAGTGGGGTAATACTCTGAAGTGATATTGTGCCACGTCCCCCAGAAAATACCATCTCTGAGTCCTTTGTACCTTCCTTCCTTGTAGTATCTCCCGTTCAGGTTGGCGGACATGCAGGCGTCAAACCACCAGCCAGAGCTGTAATAGGCCCCACAGTTACCTGATGGATATCTGTCATTGTCCCTGTCTGGGGTAGTAAAGGGTTTGTTGTTGTGATCGAACATTTTGTTGAAGCGGAGAGCGTCCCCTGCTGTACCGGAGTAAACACCTATAGTCAGCCTGTAGCGGAGACGCTCACTTGCCACCTTGAACTTGTCATACTCTGCATATTCCATCAACCCGTCGAAGTCCTCCAGCTCCACCCGCAGCACCATATCCCTGTCGCGGGTGAGCAGGTGGATCAGGTTGTTCCCCAGCCAAAACTCCCCTCCGTTCAGCTGCCCAAACCCTGATCGGTAATCTGCCCAGGTGCGGTTGAAGCTCACGCTGCCGTCCTGTCTGAGCTGCAGCAGCGTCCACCCTCCACCGGTCAGGTCCATGTCACAGAAGACCGGGAAGCTCTTACTGCGCAGGTCAGGGGTCACCGTGTACACCCCGCTCTTTGTCTTCCCTCTGAGCAGATGGTCTGAGCAGTCTCTTATAGCACTGGCTTCTGAAGAACAGGGAAAGAAGGTGACTATGGAAAACAGAAGTTTGTTCACACCACTCCAGATTGATAAATCTGTAAAAATACATTTGTTAAGAAAGGAATTGAACTACAGTCCTACTTCAGTTGGAATGGTGAAGATGGTGTTGTTAATATTATTATGAAGCTGAGCTAAGACGATTGAATAATGGAGCTCACAGGTAATGTGAATAAGCATCCATCCATCCGTCCATTCTGACTAAGAGTGAGGGCGGAGTTCGACAACTATATTACTGTTTTCATGTACAGTGACTCTGAGTTTTGACAGAGTTTTGCTTTTGTTTTCTTGTTTTTCCCAATGGGGTCTGAGTGGAAAGGTTTATCAGTGGAAAATGAATCAGCCAGGTTGCATTTATGAAACTTTGCTGCCATTAAAAACCTGAAAGAGTGAGGTTAGGGAGGTTGACAGTTAGCTCAGCCACTTAGACACGGTGAGTTCGAGTCTTAAATCTCAAATGTCAATCAAAGTTAAAAAAAGAGTACATTTTGGACAATTTTATGAATAAAACGTTTGTGTGAAACAAAATGATCCTTTAAATTAATTTGAGGTGAGATTGTAAATATAAGTTTTTGTTGTTTTTAAAGTGGTCCACACTGGGGTTGGGGGTGTACTGTTCAACAGAAAACTGGAGCTCTGGCCTAAGAAGGACTGACCCATCACTTTCCATGTAACAGCCTAAATGCATTCCCCCCCAAAACAATACACTAAGACAACAATGGATGCAACTTTTAAATTAAAAGAAGCCCAGGATATGTTGGCCTTCAATAATTCAACCCTAATACCTGACATTTTTCTATTGTATCTTTCTACCTTTCATTTGTGTCAAATGTCAATCAAAGTTAAAAAAAAGAGTACATTTTGGACAATTTTATATATATAAAAAATAAAAATAAATCCATAGGTAGTTGTGAGAATGTCCTTTCTCACTAAAGAGCCTGTTCCCTGAAATGCTAATGCACATGAGTGAGGTGAACATGTGGGACACTCCGTCTGATAAATGAAATCACATGACCTCAAGAAAGGATGGGATGAATTTGATGATGAATGATTTACTGACTGCACATCTGTGCCGGATGTTTTTAAAAGCTGTTTGTCTGTGCATTGTTGTGGTTTCATTTCTGACCCTCTCCTACCCTTAAACACACACACGCACTGACATAACTATTCTGCACACACATGCAAATTCCATCTTTGACTTTGAGTAATAATGTATGTATGGCACTAAGATGATCTCACCCAAAGCCAGCAGTATTATAGCCTCATAAATGTTTATATGATGATCGTTAGGGTTTGCCATGTGGTCCCCAATACTGATATTCTTCCAGGTCAGGTCAAACCAATTATTTGTTTTTTAACTGTTCTGTTTTGAATAACGCATTCAAAACAACTAAGCTGTATATTTGTTTCACATTTCTATCTGTAGCGTCACCAGAGGACAACAGATGTTTGTGAAAATGACTATCAATGTCAAGGCATTTCATGTGTCTACCTCACCCTTTGGTTGGTACTAACAGATCTGTATTTGATAAAGCATAATTACGGCATTTATTACAATGTGCAAAAAATATTGACCATAGAATGAGGTATTATGTCTTGCCTTTTGATGCCATCCACTTTCTGTAGTCTGCACCATCGCCCTTGTTGTTGTCTGCTGGATGCTGTTTTGGAAACAGGTCTGCTATTGGTCCAGTTGACCCTTGCCTGTCACTGGGAAACGCAGCCACCTGGTTGATTTTTACTCGAAGCTCTCGTGCACTAGGAGTGGAATACTCAGCTGCTGCAAGCTGAGGGCCAGAGGTGACAGAAGTAGTTGACTCAGTGTCAGGGCTAAGTATGGAGGAAGTATGAGCCCCGGGATAAGTCACTGGAAAGACCGGTTTTTCTGAACCTGAGGTTTTTCCAGGTGCAGTGTTCTCTGTGCTGTGTAGCATCAGAGATGCTGCGCTGGGCTTGGTATTGGAATTGAACTTTGTGGCTCCTGGACTGGTGCTAGTGATAACACTCGGGAGGATGCCACGGATCATTATGTTTGGTCTTGTTGTAACTGGGATCAATGAAGGTTCTCTGACTGTTTGTGGCTTCAGATCACACGGGGTCCTGCTGTCTGGGCTCTCGGTTAGGAGACCTGAAAATAAAGGAAAGATCCTCTTAGGGCTTGATGTTGGGCTTAGATTGAAAGATTTTTTGCTGGGGTTGAACTCTGCATCACCTGTGGAATGAGTGATTTTATTGTCCCGACTTAGAGGCCCAGATGTAGGCAGCAGGTCGATTTGAGAAATTCGTGTGCCATCTGGAGTTATCCCGCTGAGATAAGGATTTGAGTCTGTTTTGTTGTTTGGGCTTGATTCGAGTCGCACTGCTGGTTCTGGCCTTTGAACAGATGTTGCTTCTGGCTGCAGTGTGGGTCTGTGTGCAGGAGTAGGCGGTAGTGTGGATGACCTGATGGTTTCATCAGGCAGAGTTTTCTGATCAGGTGTTTCAGCATGTTTTCGTGGTATTTGGCTAACTTTGGCTTTTACATCCGCTTTAGTCCTTTTGTTGGAATTGAGCTCCTGTTTTTTGTAGTGTAAAGGGTCTTTCTGGACGGGTCGAGAATCCTGGTCAGAGGGTTTATTGCCATCTAGTGAAAGATTGATTAAAGGTGTTGTGTCCAGGTATTGTTCAGACTCAGGAGAAGGACCTTCATTATTGTTTCTATTAAACATTGAAGATCTGTTGCTAGGACTCAGTGTTAGCTTAGTATTTTTCGCTCTTTTAGAATCAGGAACAAGAGGTGATTTTGTTTTTTGGTTTCTCTGAGGATTGATGACAGAACCACTGGCTGGTCTTTTATGAGTGGCAGGTCTCTGGGCAGAAGGCGAAGATTTTGATGAAGAATTTGTCTTTTGACTTTTGTCATGTGCTGGTGCTGGATTATTTTTCATATTTTTTCCAGCTGTTATAATTTCATCCGTAGTGCTGTGATCAGGATCGAACTTAGGTGTGATGTGAACAGATGTTGCTTCTGGCTGCAGTGTGGATCTGTGTGCAGGAGTAGGTCGTGGTGTGGATGACCTGTTGGACTGTGGTTCAGGGTTTTCATTACGTAGAGTTTTCTGATCAGGTGTTTCAGCATGTTTTCGTGGTATTTGGCTAACTTTGGCTTTTACATCCGCTTTAGTCCTTTTGTTGGAATTGAGCTCCTGTTTTTTGTAGTGTAAAGGGTCTTTCTGGACGGGTCGAGAATCCTGGTCAGAGGGTTTATCGCCATCTAGTGAAAGATTGATTAAAGGTGTTGTGTCCAGGTATTGTTCAGACTCAGGAGAAGGACCTTCATTATTGTTTCTATTAAACGTTGAAGATCTGTTGCTAGGACTCAGTGTTAGCTTAGTATTTTTCGCTCTTTCAGAATCAGGAACAAGAGGAGATTTTGTTTTTTGGTTTCTCTGAGGATTGATGACAGAACCACTGGCTGGTCTTTTATGAGTGGCAGGTCTCTGGGCAGGAGGTGAAGATTTTGATGAAGAATTTGTCTTTTGACCTTTGTCATGTGCTGGATTATTTTTCATATTTTTTCCGGCTGTCGTAGTTTCAACTGTAGTGCTGTGATCAGGGTCAGACTTAGTTGTGATTCCAGAAACTTTGACTAAGCCAATTGTGTTTACTGTTGCTGTCCTCTGATGGAATGTGGTTCTCTGTACTGGTGCTTCAGGCTGTGGCTGAGAATTTGACCTTTGGCCCTTGTCATGCATCAACAGTGAAATATTTCTAAATTTCTGATCTGTTGTTTGAACGCTAGGTAGAGTAATCTGATCAGTTACTGAGTGGACTTCGGTCGCAGGGTCTTGATCAAGATCAGTTGGGCTTATCGTTGTTACTGTCTGATCGGATGTAGGTCCGACAAGACTGTCGTAAGATACTGACGCTTGATGAGAATTTTCTTTTAGAATCTCTAACATATTTTGAACTGATGTAAGTTCCGTATCAAGGACTGGATATTGATCATGGTTCATGTTTTGATCAATTGTTATTTTATTGATTTTTATTGAGTAGCCAGGTGTTGTAGTGTGGTGGGCAGTCACATGACCTAGTTCAGAACTGTTTGTGTTTGTTGCTGCAGATTTCTGATGAGGTCTAGGTCTTTGGACAGGTGGGAGGGGCATTTGATGAATATTTGGCTTTAGGTCTTGGTTATGTATACGTGAAGCATTCTTTTTCAAATTAGGAGTGATTTTAAGGCGTGGAGTGCTATGGTCAGGTTTTGCATATTTCTCTCTCCGAGGATCTTTGGCAGAGCCTTTTAGGTTTACTGTAGCCGTCCTGTTATGAGATGGAGGTCTCTGGGCTGGAGGTGAAAACGTTCGATTAAAGTTTGGATTTTGGCCTCTGGTTTGTTTATGTTTATTTTGAACAGTAGTCATTTTATCAAGGGGAGAAAACAGATCAGGTTTTGAAGTTGTTTTAATAATTTGACTTTTGTCGGATCTTGTTGTATTTACTGATGTGGGTCTTAAGGAGGGGATTTTAGACTTCTGATGAGAATGGGGTTTTTGAACATTTGACCTATTAGGATTAGTTGGGAGGCCTTCATGTTGTTTAAGCAATGGATTTTTATACACATTTTGACTAATAATTCTTCCATCTGACGATGTGTTGTTATAATTTTCCGACTCAGAATCCTGGTGAGAACCAGTTTGGTTTACAGTTGCAGGTTTCTGATTAGAGGTTGGTCTCTCAGGAGACCTTTTGCCTTGTTGAGGCAGTGAAATATTTTTTATATTTTGAGCTGTGGTTTTTTCACCATATGGAGGAAATAGGTGAGTGTTTATTCCTGTCTGGACAGTTGTAGAACCAGTTGTACCAACAGTCGATGGCCTCTGAGGAGAGGGAGCTCTCTGATCAGGAGGTGCAGAAGTCTGATTAGAATTTAGCTCTTGGCCTTTGTCACGTCCAAGCAGTGAATTATTTTGTTGATTCTCACCAGTTGTTAAATGATGGTGTGAAACTCTTTGGTCAGGTTTTGCAGTATGAGTCTGTTGTTCTGAGGCTCCTGGCTTTCTGGACTTGATATTTGGGTCAACTGTTGGTTTTTGGACCAGGGGCTTCAGCTTCTGGACGGGTCTAGTCTTTTTCTCAGGTATAGGTGCTCGGTCATGTTTATGGTCATTCTTTGAATTTTTCAGCTTTTGTGTTGCTTCAGGCTTCATTCCCTGCTTTTTACCCAGATTAACTCCTTGACCAAATCCAAATTTTCTACCGGTGTTCATGCTGGGGCTTGTGTTTTTTGCTCCCCGGCTGCTGCGTTCTGTGACTGCTGCCATTGTAGTTGTGAAAAAATGTTGTACGTGTGTCGAGGCGATCTTAGTTGCTGACGTTGAGTGAACCTGACCCTGAACGCCTGGCCAAGACCTGGGACTGGAGGTGGATGTGAACCTGTTGGTGATAGTAGTAATCTGTTGTCTGGGGACTTCCAAAGTGCTTAATGTGGGCGTCGCAGTTGGATCGTTTGTGGTCCTGAAGCTTGCATCTGCATCTGGGTGCGGTTGTTCATAAATTTGAGTGTGTTCAAAGTCTGTGCTTTGGGATGGTAGTCCAAGAGCTGCTATCACTGTTGCTTCATTGACATCTGTGATCAAATGTGGACTGGACCACAGAGAAGTAGATGAAAGGGGTGACGTCAAGGTTATAACTTTGTTCGGGTCCATAGTTTTATGTCTCCCTGTAATAAAACCAGTGATAGATGGAGGAGTCTGGCTGACAGAAACAAAGTCTTTTCTCTCCTCTGCGTCGTTGGATGTTAATTTTTCATCACTGGGTCTCTGCCCACCCTGTACCACATTTCCACTTTGCGTTTTGATCTCTGCGCTCGTCACCCCGTCTGTCTCACCACTCTCCCCACTGTTAATTGTCTTGCCTTTTACTACCAGCCCATTGTTTTCGGTCGGTTTTAATATCTTGTTATTTTGCCACGCTTTTATTTCTTCTCCTGTGTTCTCTTTACTATCCACACCCTGCTGCTCCTGCTCCTTATTTATGTGCCCAGCATAGTCCTCAGATGTCATTATTCTTTCACTGACTTGATTTTCTTCTGTTTGTTTTTTTCCATCCATTTGTTCTTGGTAACTTGCTGTGTTATCCATATTTATATCAGATGAGTTTTTTTCTCCCTCTTTCTGGGTTATTTTCCCTTTATCACCTGTCAGCTTTTCATTTTTATTACCTTCCATTCCTTTTTGCTCACTGTTATTTTTTTCAGCAACTGTTTCTCCATGCGTAACTTCTGTTTTCCCGTTTGCAGTTAGCGTCGTTGACCATGCCAAATTACCACTCACTGTTACACCCTCGTCCCGACTTTTTCCATCTTTTTCTGACACTTCTGGTGAGACTTCTGCTCCTTCCATTTCTTTAATAAGCCCCTGATTACTCTCTTTTACTGCCTGCAATTTATTCCTCCCTCCTCTGTCCAAATCTGTTCTGTTTTCTGTGTTAATTTCACCAACTCCTCCTAGAGCCTCAGTCCCCTTTATCTTGCCTGATCCAAAGTCATCTCCAGACTTTTCCTTAGATCTTTTATTCACACAACGCCACTCATCCTCACGTTTTTCTGTATTTTCATTCAGCTTCACATGCTCTTTTTCTGTATGCATGTCACACATTTTCTCAGTTTGTCTTACTGTACAATCTGCACACTTCTTCCTCAGTTGGTCCACGGTGTCTTTCAAGTCCTGCAGCTCCCTCATGATCTTCTCCAGGTCTCTCAGCTGAGACGGCAGATGAACGGTCAGTGCTGGCAAACTGAGCGAGTAGAGGCAAGCTGCGTCCTCCTGCCCGTGTCCACAGGGTTCCTCTAGTTGCAGTGTTGCAGCACATGGCCCAGACCCCTTGTCTTCTGATGGGTATCCTTGACCAGAGCCTACTGTTGTCCAAAAGAGGCTTGAAAAGACGAAATACATGCATGGTGCTGTTAACTTCATCGTGTCCCAAGGGTAAAGAGTGAAAAAGAAGGAGAGGGGAAAGAGCGTAAATAAGAGTGACCTCAGTTTGTAAAGCACAGTGTCAGGGAGAGGAGGGGGTAAGGTGGGAGGGAAAGGGGAAGGAGGCTAAACTGATGAAGTTGTTCATGTTGTTGTTCAAATGATGTTGTTCAAATGAAAGACTTTGTGACAAAAATGAGCAGTGAGGAAACAGGGTTTCTAATGGAAACAGAGTAAAAAAGTGTTGCATAGGTGGCAGACGGTTTCTGAACAGATACGATGGATTTACCAAAGAACATAAATCAGCAAATATGTCACGTCACCAAAATTCCTGTTTTTCTTCTCTTCTTCAAATTTGTTTTTATTTAGATATTTAATTCACGCCAATTTCACAGCATTCTCAGTCAGTGCTGTAATAATGAATTTGTATTGCATATGTGTTGCAGCTTTGCCACAAGTGTCTCAGACTTCCTGTCAGTGGTCTATAAACATGTGAGGGACAGATGTGACAAGTCAGAATATGAATTTAATTCAACCTAGTGGCTGTTGGACCACCACCATGCATTTCCTACTTAGATTTATAATACTGCATTCTTTATGATTCAGCTCCTGCCCAATGGAAGCCAAGAAATGTCAGCTTTACCGGAGAAGACCACTTGATTCAAGGTAATTGTCACGGAAGAGTAATCACTCATGTGCTATTAACTGCATTTGGACACCGCTAATCCTTGACAAGTGTAGAGAGTTAGTGAGGTAATTGCTTCCCATAATACTCAAATCATATCTTCACACTGGAAACTGTCTCTAACTGTTTCACGATGAGCCGAACGCAGCCTGGCTTGGAGACAGTGAAGTTCAGGTGACTTAATTCCTGTTTTTATATGCTGTCTGCTGAAGTCTAGCACCTTATGTGAAAGTCACGTTACTGTGATCCCTCTCCTATCGCGGTAGTTGCGTTGCAAGACCCACCGCGAAATAGGAAAAATCGCGAAGTAGAGGCGAGATAGTTATTATATTATTTACATATATATTTACCCCTTTACGAACCTCACCCACACTGTTATCAACAGTCGAACGACAACAACAGTGCCCTCCTGTGTCCAACGTATGTTATTACCCTACATTAATGAAATGCTCACCTTATTGTATATACAATATGTCACGCATAACATGCGGGTATCGTAGATTTTCCAACCCATATCTTTACCCTGTATGTACTGTATGTGTTGCTAAATGTCTTTTCGTTTATTTATATACTGTTTTCACCTTTTTAGACTACGAAATTATAGTTTTTCACAAAAATAATTGGACATTTAAAAATTTTAATAGCGTAAAATATCGCGATTAATTTCGCGAGATCGGATTTAAAAAATCCACGATATAGAGAGGGAACACTGTATACATATTATATGTAAATAGGTGTCAATTTAAGATATTTGTCTTTAGAATCAACATAGCCAGACTGTTAACTGATTACATGCCAGAAGTAAAAAAAAAAGTTTAAATTCGACTGACACTAAAATACTAAAACACTTGCACTGGTAACTGTTTACTTTATTGAGAGCCTTGTGTCATAACACAATTATGTCGTCCTGATCATGGGGTCACACCGAAGCCAAAACGAGTCTTCCCTTTAACTCACATGATTGTGAGTGCCAGTAAAATGGATCAAAATCTCATCATGTACAAAGCTGTCTAGAAGATACTGAAAAGTGTTTGTGTTTTATCTCCAAAGATTATCTAGTTAACACAACAACAGTGAAAAGTAAACCATAAAAGAGGAAGAAATCCAGATGTTATAGCAGAGTAGCTGAAAAACATAGGGCTGTCTTATTCAAATGGTGGCAACAGACATTATGAATTGTCATCATTTTACCTCTGTTTAAAATGACAAATACTTACAAACACAAATACAAACACTCTCCAAATAGTTGTGTTTATTTGTAATGGGTGTCATTAAAATGTTTTTAATGTAATTGTATGTTTTTGTCCAAATTTTGTTTATTAGTCAAATGAAATGTTCAGTTCAGCTGATACTCTTGGTTTAAAAATTTGGCTCTACTGGTTTTATAATTAAATAGCTCTGGCACAGAGGTTTGGTCATAAATTTAGTTATAGTCGACATTAACTAGCTAGAAGTGCCCCTCCCCCCACAAAGAACTAAATACCAGACAATTCACAAAAAACACAAAAAAGGGAAAATATTATTAACATTGCGAGAAAATTTAATTAATACATACTCAACATAAACTGGGGAAGGAGGAGAGATGGGGTGTGGAGGCATCTAAGAGAAGGCTAGTTGGCTAAAATATTAGAAAGAAAAACAAATGACAAAAGCTAAGCATGTCAAATTTAAAGTAGTTGATAAGTATATTAGCAGTTGATTAAGATACAAATAACAGTATAAACATGACCTTTCTCTTTTCCACCACGGAGAACAGTCACGAGTATTTTTATTCCCTTTAATACCTTTACTCTGGGCCCTACCCTTGTATGGGCAGCAGTTCTTTTCCCCTAGAGTGCCCTTAGTGTTTTCAATTCCCCTTGTAAGATGACTTGGCCCGCTCTCTGCCCTGGATCATGTAAACACTATGTTTTTTTTCCAACACAGACCGGAGTAAACATCTGACCATCAGCCCCAGCTTCAGTGCCTGAGCTTCTTGGCAGACCACTCCATCTCCAATAACTTTGGGCAGAGGAATCACTTGTTTATCATGTCTACTCCGTGCATAAGTGTCCCATTAGCAGCTGGACTAGAGCAAAACCTAATGACTGTCGTTGTGCGGTGCCAAGCCATTTGTAATAGCACACTCACTCTGCCTAACTAAAAGGTACAGTATGAGGCTACCTGGAAAATATTGTTCTATAGACTCACACGTTGCATGCGAAAAACAAATAAAAAGGATCACTTAGCAAAATGCTTTCGTGACACAATGTCCCCCAAACTCCCTACGAGTACTGTATAAAGTATGTGATTAATTAAGAGACAAACAAATTCACCTCATGCAGTGATATATATGTATATTACATATTAATGAAGGTTCTACAGTATATATCAGTGGTTTTCACAGTGGGGGCGGTGGCCGCCAGGGTGCGCTAAAACGAAATTGAAGTGGAATAAGAAAAATAGTTACATACAATTACAATTTGCACCTGTTATCAAGCTACTCTGCCCCTCAAGCTTGCGTATAGCTAGCTAGCGCAAACACACTAGCTAGCGCAAAATGGACAACACATTTCATTTGGATTAGGAACTCCTTTACCTTCTTTGATTTCTTTCTTCTGTTCCTATTTGTCAACAGTATTATTCAGTGTGTTAATTTTCTTATGCTAAACAAATGTATTAATTATTGACTAGCAAAAAAAGCTTCATTCAAAGTTATGGTAGATCGGAAAAATCAAGAAAGTGTGAATCGCATATTTTTTATTATTATATTATATTATTAATTTGTGTTAACAGTTGTGAACATTCAGTAAAAAGTAACATCAGAGCTGCAGCCTTGAGCAGAAGGGTGGTATAGTACTTAGCAGCTTAGAATATTTAAGATAGAAACTGACTATTGTACATAATAATAATAAATTTGACTGAAAATCTGCTTTAATATAATGGTAAATTATTCACTACAGATGAAGTTTTTAAGATTATGGTGCATGTTTCAACATGAAACATTTGGTGCACAGGGATTGGAAGAGAACAACTCCACTGAATAGCATTGATATTTTTAACTAGCCAGAGGTCTCGGTACACCAAAGCAGCTGTTGGTGGGCTCTCTTCATGGCCTAAATATCACAGTTCCTTAGGGGCCTTGGACATTTGTGGCGCCAGAGCTGGGGCTAAAGAGAAGGGCTTAGACATGTACTGCATGTAATGTTGTGTGATTATTTATTTGGTCTTGGTCTCAGACTCGAGGCCTTTGACACCGTTGTGGAGAGGGGGACACTGAACAAACTCTTAGCCATCATGGACAACAATGAGCACCCTCTCCATCATACTGTAGACAGACAACGGAGTGCCTTCTCTCATAGGCTGCTCCAGCTCCACTGTCGTAGGGACAGATACAGGAAATCCTTCTGTGAATGTCTGTGTCTGATTTACACAATAGATAGATAGATAGATAGATAGATAGATAGATAGATAGATAGATAGATTTACTTCTAATTACTTAAAGAAGTAATTAGAAGTAAATGAAGAGATAATGTGGTACAGACAACAGATATGATGATGGCAGCCCATGTCTATGCACCGGCCCCTGCTTGTGCCTTTGGAACACATCTGCAATTCGATTTGATTTGAATATATATATATATATATATATATATATTTAGTTCTCCCTGTTTAACCACGGAAACTTAATTGGAATTCTTCAATAAGTCCTGTAGGTAGAGCAGAAATTGATTCAAAGTTGACTTGACCTGTACATTTAATTATTGGAACAGAGCGTTTACGTGAAGTTAGCACCATCTATAGGCCAAAGAGGAGGTGCTACATGTTCATCATGTACATGTGACACCAGAATACCATAATACTGTACTGTATTAATTAATACTGCATACTCCATCTTGAATGTGCTAGTATAACTAAGCTGGGTTGTGTCAATATTCAGTCATCCTGTCCTGCGTGTATTTTGTTTTTGACCTTTTTTTTTGGCGATCGGTCAAATTGTTTCGGGGTAAAAATATTTACCCGTTGCTCAGTTACTCCGATGTGTGTATCAAAATTTAAAGTTTCATTTGTTCTTGTATATATTAAAAATATTTTTACAACCAAACCCAGCTTCTTATTTACACAGAGAACACAGAGAAGTCCTGTAAAAATCTAATAGAAGAATCCATCTCCACCCCAACCCTGTCTCCTTCTTTCGCCTTCACATCCACTTGTTTATATAATAGTCTGCTGTGCTGTGTCCAGAGGAATTTGTACACACTGATGATCTTCACTGACAATGGCTTGGTCTTAAATGTGATTTGTTTATACCTCTTGTTCATTCAGTTACACACTGTGCAGACTATTTACCATGTGCTAAGGGGAAGATGACACCGTTTCCAGCATAACATGGATCATCTCTGGTTTCTATTATAAAAGACAGCACTTTCAAAGCAGCTTTCGCAAGCAGCAAAAAAAAAAAAAAGAAGAAGAAGAAAAGAAAATCACCTTACTAGTAAAACAAAATACATTTTCCTTACCCTTTCCCTCCCTTTTCCACTTCTCATACCATGTCAACTATAAATACTCATTCATCACATTTGACTTATGTATGCATTTACATTAAAGAACCCAGTAATGGGACATTAAACTGTTTTTAGATGATTTCCAAGCCTTTTAGACTTAGTCTAAGACCGATGACTGTCAGAGACAGAGACTACATTTACATTCTTATACTGCCACCTAGAGGCAGTTAACGTACACTGCTTATTCAATGTGTTATACTATCGATACGACACATTTATATGTATTTATATATGCCAAATATATGCCACATATAGGCTACATGTTTATACTATATATATATATACATACAGCATTGTTCTAAATTTGTTGTAAATTTGACAAAAACATTTAATATTTTCAAAAAGAAAACTCTTCTTAAGGACATATTCAGATTTCCTAATTTTAGTTGCTTAATTGTGAATTATACTTTACCTCGTCGTCATCAAAAGTTCTTTCTAAATTACTTTTTAAATAATGGATTTATAAAGATAACTATAACTCTATAGAGAACTTTGTAGGGGTGGCAATAAATATAAAAATAAAAATGTGAGTTAGAGACTTAGAGAGTTTATAATCTACAAATGATTTGTGATGGGACGGTAAGTACATGTACATAGTACATTATACATAGTATAACTCGACAGCCGGTACACTGTGGAGAAAACAATCTTTTAACAGGCCATTTAGTGACATTTTACAGGTCGTTGGCGTTGACCTGGTTAGGTAAATGTTGATTAATTACCTCTTATTTCAAACGCAATTTACGTATATGTACTTTTTCAGTGGCTGTTTGTTTTGAAGTGCGCCGCCGTTCTTCCTACTTGCGTATGACGCAGTTCTAAGCCCCGCCCCGCCCTGGCTCTCACGTACCGCTTACGTCTGACCGTAAAAAATAGAAACTTCCAAGATGGCCGAGTCCGTGGACTCCATGCATTTCACAGCAAACAGCAAAACAAATTACTCCAAACCACTGATAACCAAACGCCCACCGGAGAGCCGACCGCAGTCTTCCAGCGACATTTACTCGCCACCCGTCAAGAAGGTCCGGGTAGAGGAGAAGGGCCTGAAGCACAGGAGAGTTAACGGAGAAGCCTGCGCAGAGGAAAATCACAACGGGAAGCAGAGTTGTGGGAGCCCAGCGAAATGGAGTTTCGGCCCGGCCGAGGCGAGCCACTCCACTGCTGCTGCTGTGCCAACGACCCCCGCACGGAAAATCTTCAAAATCAGCAACTTCCTCGCGTCGCCTCCAAAAGTAAAAAAGGCTAAAGATAAACGGCATAAAGAGAAAGAAAAGGGTTGCGACGTGCAGCGGAGCTCCCTCGCGGGTGTGGAGAGACTGAGCCCAGCTAGCTGCCATACAAAGACCGAGAACGGCAACGAGAAAATGCTCCAGAGAGGTAGGTCAAAACAGAGAGCCCGACTCACACGGCAACTCTACTTGAACACGTTTGAAATAAGCTAGAAAACACAATGAGTGCAAAAAATATCCACACGGTGTAGTTTACCAAATTATTATGTGTACTACAGGCCCCATTATTTATTAGGCCCAGATGGAAATGTATACACGTGGAAATGTTTGTGCGTAAGTTAACTCGAGTAAAATAGTTTTTTGAGTCTTTCTTCTCCTCTGCTCTCCTCAGATCATCATATGAAGGAAAAGGACAGAGAAAAGAAGAAGAAAAAAGACTTGAAAAATCATAAGCTACAGCCTGTCAGCGACATTGTAAGAGAAAACGGAGACGTTATTTCTCCCCAGAAAGGTAATGTCGGTACTCATTGTCGAATTTATTTAAAAATACAATTTATGCTTAAATGTAAAACAGAAAGCCCCTCAAATATATTTTACCAGCGACTTACAATTTGAGTCAGTCAGTCAGTCAAGCTACAGTAAACATACAAAATACACAGACACATATTTAATAATAATAAATATAAAAGTAGAGTTATAGCTATAGAGTAAGAGGTGCATGTGAGATGTTAGTGGGTTTGGGAGATGTTCATCATCTATCATATACATATACATCATCATCATATGGATGTGGCACAGTGTTATCTTAGTCGCTCTTCACATTTGTGTAGCGTTTAAACCAGGGATCTACTGTAGGCATGTATTTAATCCTAGACATTGACCATCCACCCCCTGAAGCCAGGACTATTAAATATTTGTGTTAAATCTAAATGACTTTTTTTCAGTAAAATGTCATCATCAAAATAATCTTTGGTAGATTAAACCTGAACTCTCTCCTTGTTTTAAGAATCTCTAACCTTGTGATACAAAATGATGGTAATTTTGTCCTGCAGAGCCTAAAGAGAAGCCCGAAGCCTTTTCGGAGAATGACCTCCTGCTGAGGAAGCTCAAGAAGAAAAAGAAAAAGAAGCACAAAGACGAGGAGCGAATTCGAGAGAGGTACCGACCAAAAATGTATCACCGCTCATGTCAGACGACGTGTTCAGGAGTATCTCTGGGTCTGTCTGAATTCCTTAAACAAATGAATGGTAATGACAGCAGCAGCGGCCTGCTCCACCCCTCTCCTGCACCACCGCACCATCAGGATCCTATGTGTGCGCCTAGTTCCATCTCCATGGCCAGAGGTGGACTAGGCTACACCTCACCACTCCACTGCGCCACAGTGCCGGGCATGTCCAGTCTGGAGTTCAGTCCGATGATACATTTGGAGCAGCAGGCCAATGGTGGAGCATTGGTAGTCCATGCCTACATGGAACAGCTCGCTGTTTTAACCCCAGCTGAGATGCAGCGCTTTGCTGAGGAGTTTGTGGCGTTGTCATTCAGTGAGGGTGAGGACCATGCCGCCTATTTTGTGATGGGAATCATTCATGGAGCGGCCTCTTATCTACCGGACTTCCTGGATTACTTCTCCTACAACTTCCCAAACTCACCAGTCAAGATGGAGGTGCTCGGGAAGAAAGACATAGAAACAACCACCATGGCCAACTTCCACACTCAGGTAAGATCGTTGTTTTGTTTTTGACCAATGCCTGTTTTATGTGAGAGTTGTCAGCATACACGTTTTGGCTGTTGATCCAGGGTCCATGTGTGGAGTAATTTGTCACTTTTTTACAAACTGAAACAAACTGGCTTTGTTACCTACTTACTCCTTTTCATAAAATGACCTGAATGACAAATGAGAAATGACACCATCATCTTACTGCCAGATTAGTTTTATTCTTATTAACAGAAAGCAATGTCAAGGCAAAAAATAACCTTTACTGTTAGATTACCTAAAAATAACCAACAATAAAAATACATTTCAAATTATATTAAACTATAAAGATGAAAAAAACTAAACTTTCTGTATAGTTAACACAGCAGAGTGTATAGAAAGTGAACAGAGGACTGTTGGCATGTTGCAATTCTTGCTCTCTTGCTTTGCAGTTGACAATGTGCCATTTAAATTGTATAGCACTATTTTTATCTTTCAGTTAAACAGAGTAACATTCAATGTTGTCAAATAAGTCTCGACAAAAAAGGGACTTTGAAACTTTTTTTTTTGAAACTCGTAAAACACTGTGCTGTTAAACTGAGAAAAGACATTAGTGTATTCAGTGCTCTGACGCTGATGTCTTCAGGTGTTTTGTTAAATTGTTGGTCCTGTCTGTCCCTAGTGTTAAAATACCTTTAAATGTACACCCATAAGTTAGGGCTCATGGGTAGTTTAATACATATTTAATACATCACAAGTATGTTGGTGAATATTGAAATAATGAACACATTGAGGGGAAAAATACCTTCCTGTTGAACTGAGAGTGTGATAATAAAATATTGTGCGGGGAAATAATCAGCATTGTCATGCTAGTAAAAAACTTACGTGAATGAAATACAAAATATTCAATTAAAATATAGAAAACAAATACAAATAATAATGAACAGATAGTAAAGTAAGACCGCTTACCATAATATCAGTAATACAAAAAACGTGTTTAAGACCAGACTATAACTGCTCAGTTCAATGTTGTGCCACATTGTACTGTATAGTCTCAGACATGTATTTAATAAATTCCAGACAGTAACTCGATCCAAGAACATGGCTTACTATAGCCCAGCACTACCATAAATCATCGCATCTGTCATACTATAGAATGTTAGTGTTTTTTGTTTATTGATGACTGAGATGATCTTCTGCTATTGCGCCTTTTATGTACGGTATTTTATAGTCGTGAGTCTCTCGGCATTTAAGGTGCCAAAGATATTCGTTGTGCTGCTGAATGGAGCTCACAACACTGAGTTGTGCAGCTTGACCATGAAATGTTTTTGATTCACGTCTCTGTCTTCAAATCAAAGTGTTCCAAAACCAGTGAAGTCACTTCACTTTCCTCCCTGACTAAACACTGCTGCTCCTCTCATTCTGCTTGTCCTGCTGCTGCTGCTCTCCATCTTTACGTTTTCACTAGAGCTGACTTTTTAAAGCACCGACACCAGAATGCACATGTTTAGCCTTCTGAAAAGTCAGGAAAAGTGCGTTTGGTTGTATCATATGAGTGCTGCACAACAAAAGATAATATTTGTTTTCTACTAAAAGTACCAATACCAATATTTCATGGGCTCTTCACTATCCCCTTCACTTTTGTATCAAAAGGTTTAAATGTCCCATCAAAAGTTTAACAGTGAAAATGTGAATATCACATCAGCTACAGACTGAAGGAAATGCAACAAGTTCAAAATATGTTGGTTGTGGTTGTAAATTTGCCACAATTGTATTTGCCAAGGTAAATTTGGCTGCCAGAAATGACATGTCAGCAAGCAGGTCTAGAAAGACATTAAACAGGAGAGTTGTGAGTTGTTTCCACAGTCACACAGCTCAATCAGAGAAAAGAGAAGAACTAGCGAACCCTCCCACATCTGGTACTTTAATGTGATGAGAGTGTGGTGTGTGATAGTGTCAATGTAATTAAGAAGACAATCAAATAGTGATGTCAAAACTGTCTCTTTAGTGTTTGTTAACCTCCAATCACACAACTTATTTATATCACTTCATCATCATTTCCAGCAGTAGGTAGACCAGTAGATCTTTTGAAGTCTGCATTTACTACTGCAGCAAAGCCTTCCCTCCATAAGCACATCATGTGATCATTAGCATCATCAAGCATTCAGATGTAAACAGAAACCACCAGGTCTACTCTGGAGTCAGTTACTCAGCTCAAAACATGCCATATGAAAGCTAATTTGTTGTCCTGTAAGACTTCCTCAGGACTTATGTCACCTGTCTATAGGTGAAGATTTCTATTTTTATATCACATGGTAAAAGTTGTCCTCTCTAGATGGGCAGAAATGAGCCTACTATTTTTGTCTTCTGTTTCCTTTGTTTTAACCCAAATTATGAAAGGCAAAGCAAGAGTGATAGGTGTGTGTGTGTCCGGTGTGTGTGTGTGTGTGTGTATGTATGTATGTGTATGGATCAAGGAAAAGTGTGTGACCAGAAAAGCCCATCAAACTGCTCAAAGCACCTGTCCTTTATTGCAAACATTTCATCTTCTCTTTTCCTTTTACCCAAACGTTTCCAAATTATATAATTGATTTTTATTATCATTATACTTCTGTCTTTTCTTGCAATACCCACAATTCCCCAATATATGGTGTAGAAAATCATAAAAGCATTTTAGCCTTTATGCATGCCTCTTACATGTCATTTATCTTAGTTCACTCGAACGATCCATCTGCTCCTCACCCAGACCTCTGTTCAATTGTGGCCCCTTAACATCACCTTTAATTGACATTTTATTATGCACCAAATACGCCCCATCAAAAATAAGCCACCATTTGCTAACTTTTTTTGTTGAAAAAATAATTTGTAATGAAATTAATTTTTTAAAATCTCAAGAAATAATCTGTTTGTGGGTGTGTGTGTGTGTGACAGATGAAATATAAAACGATCAGAAATTATTCCAGTGTAGACGACTGACAGAGTCAATGTGACTCATGTTTGCTTATGTTTTGCCTCAAACAATCATCAAGTTTTACAGCCATTTTTCTAAAGACACTTAGAAGGATAAAGGTCTTTTATCTGTCTGTTAGGGCTAACCGTGTTTAAAAAGAAGCAGTGTATGATAATGGTTTCCTTTGCGGTGTCTGACTCCAGGTGAAGCGGACATATTCCCAGGGAACCTATCGAGCTGGGGCCATGCGGCAGGTCAGTCTAGTTGGAGCTGTGGATGAAGAGGTTGGAGATTACTTTCCAGAGTTCATCAGCATGTTGGAACAATCTCCTTTCCTGGAGGTTTGTCGGTTGTTTTTTTTTCTAATTAATTTTTAGCACGTGTTAACAACTAGTTGATATAAAAACATCAGTTTTAATTTTTTGTGTGTGGCCGTAACTTGAAGCCTTCTCACTTCCTGCAGCGGACTCTACCTTGGGGGACCTTCTCCAGTCTGCGGCTGCAGAGCCCCACTGAAAGCGATGATGGCCCCATCATGTGGGTCAGACCTGGAGAACAGATGATCCCTTTGGCAGATATGCCCAAGTCACCCTTTAAAAGGAAAAGGTGTGTACTGTAGAGTTGCAGCGGGTTAACCCAGATTGCTGACACAGCACATTGCTTCTCAGTGAAATATTGTGCCTTATCTCAGAGCAGCACGAGCTCTCGAGAGGTACTTACCACGTGTCATTAAAGCGGTTATGGCTGACGTGTGGATGAACATATTTCAGGTCTACCAATGAGATAAAGAACCTGCAATACCTGCCCAGAGCCAGTGAACCCCGGGAGATGCTGTTTGAGGACAGGACAAGAGCCCATGCTGATCACATCGGTCAGGGCTTTGAGAGACAGACTACCGCTGCTGTCGGTGTGCTGAAAGCTGTGCGATGCGGAGAGGAGTGAGTACACATTTGTCTTTGTTTTCCTGTGTGGACACTAGGGGTGTGTATTAACAAGAATCTGGCAATGCGATACATATCACGATACTGGGGCAGTAATATGATATATTAGGATATACTGCGATACTATATGCTTGGCAATATATTTTTGTTGTTTTTTTTAAACAATTTAACTGTAGGAAAACTGTCAGCACAGTAAACACACAACGTTGTTACATGCTTACCATCAGGTTACTAAAATTCTAACAGAGAAATCTTCATTTGTAATCCCTAGAGAAGTATAACTAAAATAACCTGAACCAACACCATGAATGTTTGCATGGTCATGAAAAACAAATTGATTTTATCATTTTAACATTGACTGGTAACCAAGACCATTTTTATTGACCTACAGCAGTGACGTTCCTGCTCGAATCACCAAAGATGTTGTGTGTTTCCATGCTGGAGACTTCCCAGATGTGGTCATGAGGCTGCAGCTCGACCTTCATGAACCTCCGCTGTCTCAGGTGAGGTCCATTTACGGTCTTGCCGCCTAAATCCAACAGGATACATCAGATCTTAAGTGCATCTGTCGAAAGGGCCAGCTGTTTTCTGGACGATCCATGGTGCAGTGGTTTGTACGCCTCCCTTACACATCTGCCTAACACGTACAGAGTACAGGATCCGATCCCCAGATTTACCACATACCCCTAATGGCGCCTCCCATGGCAGCCTATCTGAGTTGCAAAGACTCGCACTGTGAATTTCCTGATTGTAGTACAAATAAGGGACTTTGTTTTTTTTACATTTGCTGGTTGTACACCATACAATCGATTGTGCTATATTTGCTTTGTTTTGTTTTTCTGTTTTTTTTATTTTACTTTCATAATGGCTCCCAAGCATAAGCCAGATACTTGAGGTTTTGGTTTTTATTTATGATTGCACTGTTAGCATAGGTGAGTGACATACAGTAGGTACACTATGAGTTATGCACAGTATGAGTTCCAAGTAATGTTACATTGTTCTATGAAAAAGTCTGTTCAGTGTTTGACACTTGATAAATGTCAGGTAAACGTGTTAGGTTGAGATTAAGAGTGGGGGGCGTGTTTTACTATGTAAGTGGTAAGAAATCTGTAGTCTAATGTGGTCTTGCCTCTGCCATTACAGTGTGTACAGTGGATTGATGATGCCAAACTCAACCAGTTACGGAGGGAAGGCATCCGCTATGCGCGCATCCAACTTTACCATGACGACATCTACTTCATCCCCAGAGGAGTCGTTCATCAGTTCAAGACGGTGTCTGCCGTCTGCAGCCTGGCCTGGCACATCCGACTAAAACAGTACCACCAACACGAACAGAGGCAGGACGAGCAGGAGTTGAAGGAAGAGAAGTGTGCTCGCACAGAAATCACCCTTTGCATCAAGGAGGAAGACAAGGAGGCAGGGGTAGAGAAGTGCGAACCTTCTGTTCAGACAAAGGCTGAGCCGGAGGAAGAGGACGGTCGAGTGACCACACGGATAACAGAACAGGAGGAAAAGGAGCATAAAGCTGAGGCCAGGGAGTTGGCGATGACGCAATCGGTGCTTTTTGTCAGAAAGGAGACAGACGGAGGAGCACTCCCTCATACACTCATAGAACCCAAAGTAGAGCAAGTTGAGAAAGAAAGTGCCCTGGGAGTAGAGAGCACACGTGCAGACGCATGTCCGATTCAGATGAAAATCCTGGAGGAGGGTGTAGCGGACGGCCTGCCCTTAAAACCACTACATCAAATTAAGAAAGAGAACAATATGGAGGAAGAGAAGCAGCTAAGAATAACAGCGCCAGGTGTTAAAGAGAAAACAAGGGACTGTGCAGCAACCACTTTGATTTCATCACCTGTCAAAAAAGATAGAGACAAAGTAAAAAGAGAGAAGGATGAAAAAGAGAGGCAGAAGGAGAAAGATAGAAAGGACAAGGATAGAAGTAAAGAGAAGGACAGGGAGAAAAAGGAGAGGGGGAAGGAAAAGATGAGGGAGCAGGAGAAAGGAAAGGCCGAGTCAGGAAGAGACGGCAGTACATCCACACAGGTGAAAAAGAAAGAGGAAGAGGAGCGGGTAAAAGACGGCAGCAAAGCCCCTCAAATGATGGTTCATGCGCAGAAAGAGGAGAAGTGGGCGAAGGGGTGGGAGTCAAAAACACAACACCCACAGGTCAAAAAAGAGAAGGAGCACGATAAAGACAGAGGGGCCACACAGGTGGCGTCCCACTTACGACCAGACAGAGACGAGTCTCGAGAGACAGTCTCCCAGAAACACAAGTCTTCACAAGGTAAGAAAGAGAAGAGTGGGCACAGGGAGAGCAAAGAGGGCAGCACATTGAGTTTACAGGGGGTGCAGTCCAAATCAGGAAGAGAAGACGGGAAGACCACATCGTCAAAACCTGCAAACCCTCTGATTAGGAAGGAAGGGAAAAGGGACAAAGACGGTAGCGGTAAGGATGAGAGGAAGAAGCCTTTCTCTGGTCCCACACCACCAGAAAACAAACCGCCACGGACACTCATAACCTTTGACCTCTTCAAGCCAATGGAGGCTCACCAGACACTTGCCCTTTCCTTCACGGACAGTCGGCCTAAGACTCACCACCACGGTGACTCTCGAGGGTCATCCTCCAAGCCTGGATCTGAAGGTCGGACGCTCATGTCCTCCAAAGGACCAAAAATAAAGGACTCGACTCAGAGAAAACCCGCCACACCTCTACAGGACACAAGGCCACAGCAGCACTTGATAAAACAGCCCCTGAAGACACACACGCCTCACACAGAAAAAGACCTGGTGATGTGATCGTCCTGGTCTGGTTTTCATTTTTACTGTACAATTTATCTCGAGGCTTTAAAAAATGTTTGGACATGTGTCCTTCTTTTGGACATAAACTGGTCTTTTCAAACTTAGCAAAAGATTAGTGGGTACATTCCTTATGCAGTGAGAAGAGGACTCACTCTCCAAGTGTTGGCTTAAAGGGTCTGTTAGCGAATGTATGTAGGCTACATCAAAATGTTAAGTGACCTGTGTGCCTATGCACTTCTTAGCTGTGCTCTTAAAGCACCTATTTATGGTACTTGACCAGTCAATCTGAGAACAACTCAACATAGGACTTAATCAGTCACATTTTTGGGGGAAAACGATGTCAACACTTCAGCTAACGAGTTATCTCTGCCATGTTTTCTTTAGACTTTGGGATTTTGTTAATCATGACACTCGGAAAAAAAATGAGCAGCAGTTCTTTTCAGACTGGTCTCAAACCTACAGGGCTGTATATGATACTGTATTTACCAAAACTGTACAGTATAGATGTTATTAGCATCAATGTGAGAAAATGTATACAGAAATTGCATATATTTTTTGTAAGATGATTTTTATTTTCCATAGAACCTATTTATATTATTTACTGTGTTTTTATTTGCAACCAATGTACGTGAAGATTTTGTTGTAAATACATTTTATTTCCTAAGATAGGACTTGGTAGTGTGATCAGAACCACTCAATAAATGGTTCAAAATATGTACACTTAAATGCCTCGGGCTTATATAACCAAGTAGCCTCAGTTGCAGCCTTGGTCTTGAAATAAGTTTTCAGTTGTACTAATGCTTCCCAACCTTTTTGAGCTCTATTTCATTAGAAAAATCCCATGGTGCACAACCAAACAAAAATCACGAAAAGTAAATATAATGTTCAACGTTTAATTTATATACTCTGTATAAGCCTGTGCCTGTTTAGTTGAACATGACTCTGATATACTGATACAAGTATATATAGTTTTTATAGCTTTTTCCTTGCCACCTAGTGGAAGGGTATTGCGTTGTTTTGACCATCAGTGTCACACAAAGGAATTAAGACAAATTATTTGCAGTGAATTAATTCTTAGACCAATAAAGTGACTTGATTGCACACTAATGTGCCAGGACACAGAGGTGGGGAATCACTAGTATATAGAATTATCTACCCTTTAATATGGGTCATTGTTAAGGATTCAACATGTGATCTGATGCAGGATTTTTCACCAGATGCATTCCCTGAAGCATTGCTGTGCAAATAGGGATTGAAGATGTGCTGATGTCTTCTGGAAAGAAGAGCCCCACCTTTGCCGTGGAACCATAGGACGAGTGGCAAAAGATGAGTACAACTGTGGTATCCGGTATGTAGATTTTTTTTTTTTTTTTCAATTTTCAGGAATTGACTTACCCCAGGTTCACTATGGTGATGAAAAGATTTGCAAATAATAGTAGGCATGAGTCTCTTGACAGATGACATTGTAACTGGTGTAGAGGTAGTGAGCAGCACTACTGGTGTAGTGAGGAGGACAGAGAAAAATCTTAAAAATCTCAAAAAAGGTGGCACGCTGAAGATGATTACACCAGTGAAAGGTAAGGTTTACAAGACACAGATCTGGTATAGTATATACTTTAGAGATGGTGACTAACGCTGAGGAAATTGGTTGGTTGGACAGTAAAGGAACAAATGTGGAAAGTAGATGATCCTTCCATGTTAGAAGCGCTACTTTTTTGGCCCTTTAACTTTGAAAAATGAATTCGTGAAAAAATGAAGTCAAAATAAAATCAATATTATATTAAAAAAAACGTCACAAAATAAAAAAAAAGCTTTTTAAAAGAAGGCACACAAGTAACAATTAAAAGTGAAAGGAATGACAGACATCAATTACCGTCATTATTAAAACATTTGGCCTGACTGAGATCATATTGCCCTGGGTTTTTCCTGATTATTATTTGGAACAGTCCAGGACTATAGCCATTTTACACTGTGCCCTCCTGTGAACTGGTGCACAACATGCCTCTTGATGATAACTACTTAAACACACATAGTGGTATCGTGTTGGAAACAGGTCCATGTTTAAAAGCGATTTCTTTGGACTCAACTTCCTCCTATTTATAAGATTTGTGGTGTAACACAAATTAGGCAGCTTTTAAGGCACCATTTCTAACAATATACACTTGTCCTGCCAAATGCAATATTTTTTTTACCTTTGCATAACTGTAGATTGCAAGTATAAGAAATATCTGCATGTGCAAGTCATGATTAATTAGCTTATCAGCAACATCTAATGCTGTTGCGTTCAAGTTCAGTCGTGCTTTTTTAAAAAGCATATAGTTGTAGTAAATACCAGCACATACGGGTGCAAGTCAGTATCAGTATAACTGCAACAGTTTACCATTTTTTGTTTCTGTTGCCCATAGACTTGCACTGCAATGGTTACCAATGCATTTTCAACGTGTTACAGTAGAAAGTGTTCAGTAGACACTGCTGCCAGTTTAAAAAAAAAAAAAGGAAGAAGCAGCAAATCATTTTATGAAATAACTAAATGACAAGACAGCAGGAAAAAAATGGTGTAGTCCCCAAAAAGAAAGCTCAGACAAGTCAGTCTTTATGTTCTTCTACTTAACTTGGTGGTTCTAACCTCACTGTAAGGACAATCTTTTAAAGACACAAAGTGCCCTGTGCCCCTTCACTATACACCTGCCATGTCACTGCCCTTATAAACATGTAAGACGACCATCTGGCTATATTCAAAACATAGTGCACATAAGTCCATGCCAATCCTATTGTTCTTATCGGCGCATCCATTTCCCAAAAGCCCTTAGTGTATAAAAAATGAATGTTGCTACAAGTCAAAATAGCCCTGTGACTTCTGTGGCTCAATCTCTTCGAAAGTGGAAAACACTGTGTCCTAGCTCCACCAATGCCCCAACCAACAGGGCCCAGAGAGGGACACACACCACACTGACCCATGTGTCTGTTAGTCTCTCCAGGTGGGAGCACAGTGTCAGACAGAAAGCCACCTTCAGCAGCAGGGCCATCAAGTACCAAAGCCTCTTCTTCAGGCTGTGCTCCCTGTCCCGGGGGTCAAAGTCCGTCTTGCAGCGTCCTGCCATCTTCACTATCAGCATAAGGATGAGGACAGTGTCAAAAATCCACACTGGGAGGAAGATCAAGAACCAGCTCCAGTGGATCTTAGAGTCCAACTTGAGGACCAGCATTATTAGGAAGATGAGGGTGAAGATCCAGGACAGGAGCACTCGCTGGGCCAGGGACATCTTCATCTACAGTGGAGTGGCACAGAGCCAGAGTTACACACAACCAGGAAGGACCCAGGAGGGGACGGATGTCACAAACTGAGTGGTGAGACAATATACAACGTTAACACAATAAAATACAAATGCACATTTATCATCCAGAAATGTCACCTCAAACGTTTGCAGTCATATCAATAACTATCCATCAAACTGCACCATTTTATTTTGTTTAATCTGGCATCAATTCATCACCTCTTTTGTTATATGGTGACCAAAGTTTAAGTCGTTCCAGTAAAACTGCTCTTGTCACATGGGTAGATGAACAGAACAATTTGAAAAATAAATGATTATTATTTTAGTATCCTTTGCAACACTTTTTTCACATAATAACACATAACAGTATTTATTTAGCACCAGGACATTTTTAATATTAGTTATTTCACTGAAGAGTTTTTTGTTTGTTTGTTTGTTTTATTTGTGGCTGTGCCTTATGATGAGCCATGACTGTATAAGAAACTAGTTAACATGCAAGATTGTACAACACAATTTGGTAGCATAATGCATTTCAACCATTGTACACTTATTTTAATTGCAAATAATCTTAAACTATGTGCGGTGATAGTTTATTATATCTACAAATTTAGATAAATATGATTTCAAAAATTAGATATTAGTTCTATATATCTGGTGGATAGCTCTTTTTTGGAAAGTCGACAGTGACGCTTGTGAACTTTTATCGTTATTTTCCTAAACAGTTATATGGCAATATTGACTCTGACCTTCTAATATTTTTTTTAAATTTTCTATCTTGAAATCAAAAAGTTGAATTGGAATCACTTAGAGTCGATACAACGATGCGCGTTTGTTTGTGTAACCAGGTCTACTTCAAAAACATTTTTGCTACTTCCGCTTAGCTTTAGCCCACACCCCTAGCAAATGGGTCAAATTACTAATACAGCCATAACAAAGATATTAAAAGCAGTCTTACCGCGTTTTCCTGGAATCTTAACCTTCCTTACCGATATAAAGATTTAAACTACAAATGATTTTTACCAAAAATGTTTACACAGGAAAACAGAGAACAACCAGCTCCGTTAGCTGCAATAGCGCTACATGAGCAACATCCGAGCACTAGTTTCAAGACAAAAGCATGTGTAATACACGTGTATTTTATTTTGGAAAGTTAAACAAAGACGACGTAAGTCACAGAGAACCATTTTACTAGCTCACCACAGTTATCGATAATATGTCGAAAGTATAACCTAAATTTGAAAATAATAAGATTTGATGGTTAATTTTTAAAGGTGTTCTTAGAAAATACAAGGGATACAGAGCGAGATAATCCTAAATAAAACAATTTCCTGACCCAATGGGCATCGAAGACATTTGCTCTACACTAGAGCAATGGTTCTCAAACAATTAACACCGTGTGAATATGTGAAATAATTGTCTTTTCAAGTTTCACCAGTTAGATACATCCATATCCAGACAAGATCCATATCACGGACAAACGAAAAAGTTTTAGACCTTTCTTCTTCTCTAAAGCAGTCTGACTAAACTCTTATTCATTCCTTAATCCACACCTAAATAGTAGAATTAGAAACATGGATCTGCTTCACTGGACCAGGCTCTACACATGCACACGTACGCATGCATGTTTACATTTTAATTCTGAAATGTACACAAATCCTTGAAATTTTTGAAAACCATTAATGTCTGTGGGGTATGTTGTTGTGTGAAACTCAGGACTCTAATGATACTCTCTCAAAGCAGGGATGTTTACTGTTTTTAAAGTTCCAGTTCCAATTTATAATAGTGATCAGGATAATAATAATAATAGGAAAGGAAAGTAAACGCCTTGTCATTGTGACATTCTGACAAACACCACTGCACACAATGAAATGTGACCTCTGCATTTAACCCATCACCAAAGTGAACAGTGGGCAGCTTTTGAGCACCCGGGGAGCAGTGTGTGGGGAAGGTGCCATGCTCAGAGCACCTCAGCGGTGACTTGGCAGCTGGTGGATTTGAATCTGCAACCTTCTGGACCCAAGTCCGCTAATAAGTATTATCATTAATAATAATAATAATAATAGTAATATTATAATACATTAATTTTGACTTAATAATGCAACTATGTATGTTTAAAAATGTGTAATTATGCCAGTCAGACTTGAAGATAGCATTCAGAAAACATATATTTCCACAATGTTACAAAAGTGGTTACAGTAAGCTTTTGAAAACAAGTCACCAACACTAATGCAATGGCTGCCCCCCCCAAAAGGAATTACTTTAAAACAAAAGACTTAATCCCTTTTGTATAATACAAGAAAGTACTGTAAAAAAAATCAAAACCTGCATAAATTAAGAACGTAATAAATATGATATGTCAAAATTCACAACAAAGGAAAACAATTTACACTTAAGAAAAACAAAATCACTTTTACAGGGAAAGTATAACAAAAGCAATATAAAGTACACCTCTGTAGAGATCATAGATTGTCCAAAACGTAAAGTACAAAACACCTGGGTTAGAACATTATTTGAAAAAAGTTCAAGTTAGAAAGCCCTTTTAATTATTAAAATCTAATTTCAATGCAAAAGCTCTTTTTACACCAAGAAGTTTAAAAAAACGACGACAACAACAACAGTGGACTTGTATTTACAATGTGATGGTGGTGAAAATACATTGTGTAAGACATTCAGTCAAAATACTATGTCTTTGACATTTGTAAACAATTAACATTGTCATTGTCTGAAGACGTGTTATATTAAAAAAAAAATTATTTGAACTATGGCTACTATTGAGTGGAAAAGCATTTTCCTTCAGATTTTGTCTGATTTTAAAGATTTGTACCATAATTTGAACCATGGCTACTATTGAGTGGAAAAGGAAGAGTTTGTCTGATTTTAAAGATTTGTACCATTAACCTGATAAAATAAAATAAAATAAAAAACACTAACATTTCAACCATCTGCTGAAATATCAACATTTAGCAGCACTTTACAGCTGAATTAAGAAGTGTTTCCAATACATGGTACCTGGAACTCTTTGTTTTTAGAAAAAGTCTACATTCGCCACCATTACCGATTTGTACACTGCAAGCTCCACACCAAAGGCTTATGCACTCAAAAAGTGCCTTCTTAAATAGTCAGTCCTAACAGTTCCATTCACTGCCAGGTTACTGCGTGGAACACACACAGCTTTCAGGTACTGATCATTTATTCCTGGAACAATTTATTTTGTTGTAAATACAATTCTTTTGTTATTAATAAAATGTGACAGTTTAGTTTTGAAAATGATGATGCGATTTGTGCATTTATTGCACAAAATTAGTTTAATAAAATATCCAAGTACATGTGGGTCTCTTTATTAGTTTCTTTTGAAATAATTTACTGGGTCATAAATAAGTTGGGAGAGTTGCGTTGGGAATAAGGAATCCAGCACAAAACTATGCCGAAACAGTCAATCAATATAACAAGGGGAAATTATAAAAAGAAAAGTTAACAACACAGTTTTAAGTGTTTTACTTATGAAAAGCACTTGGAATGTCATACTACAGTCAAAAAGCCATACAACTTTATGAAATGTGGAGGTTTTTCATCACACTTGGTGGTCTTATGTGTTGGGTGTGCTCCAAACCCTAAACAGTGCTTTGCCTACTTTGTAGACTGTAGCCCAGACATTCTGATGAGTGAGACGGGAATTCGATGAATATTCCGTCTGAGTCTGAGTCCGCGGATTCTAACACTTGCCCAATGATGGTTTCAGGACTGGATGATTCACTGGGCGGCGAGGAGGAGGCCCCCTTGCTAAGATCAGTCATGGTCGTCGTGGCCTCAGTGCCGTGGAGAGCTCCTGACGAACGGAGGATGGAGGGAGAGGAAAGAGGCAACTCCATGTGGCTTGCTCCAACTTTCATAATACCTACAAGGTGAATGATATCAGTTGTCATCATACACATGTTGTTCTAATCAACATCACTTGATGTTTGTTATCTGATCTCACCATTAAACTGAGAGCCCACACACAGCCTGTTGGAGGTGGAGCTAGACAGTTCAGGTCCTGGAGTCAGGTCAGGGTAAGCCAGTCCTTGTTTCTCCAAGCATGATATAATCTCACAGGCAGAGTGCCGGCGAATTCCTCCGCTGCCAACAGCGCTGGCATCTGGGTCATACTCGGCGACCGGGGTCAGGAGCAGGGGGATGTTGTAGCTCTTTGATCGTACCACCGGGTTTTTAGACTGTTGCTCTGCAGACTTGGACCAGCCCCACTGTAATCGCTTCTCTGAAATGCCAGAGGAAAAGAAGAGAGGGCTTTTAGATAAGTTATGTTTCCACATATTGACATTGTAAGAAGGGTTTATATTTATACTGTCTCACCCAGAACACAACAGTGGGGGTCAACGCTATCACCAGAGTAAAGCCCATGGGTGCCCAGGTATGGTGAAACCACCTTCTGAACCAGAGACTCCAGTCTCAGATAGTCCTCGGTCACACCACGTGATTCATGGACGCCCTGTCATCACGCACAGACAAACAGGACAAATGTATTTGTTCTTTAGTGGGTTGTACTGAGTGTTCCAGTACAACATCCTTTTATCTTCTTGCTGGGCAACTCAATCTCTAACATCCTTTGTCCAACATCTTAAATTACTTGTCGACTCGCCTTCGACTTTACAGTCATATTAGTCGATGTGAAAAAAAAATCAGGAGTCATCAATGCCCTAGTTCAGGCAAGGGAAAACTAAGGTCCAGGGGCTGGATGCAGCCCGTTCAGCTTTTTATTCCGAATTATATAATTTATTTATATTATTATTAAACATCTGCCTTTTCCCTGCAATACCCACGTTTCCCCAATAGATGGTATAGAAAATGATAAAAGCATTTTAGCATATTAGCCTTTATGCATGACTTAGTTCATATGAACACTCCATAGTTTGCCCACGTCTGGGTTAGCATTATCAGAACATTGTGACTCAGGAGGCGCCATAAGAGATATGTGGTTCCTGTGAGAATCAAACCCAAGACTATCTGCTCTCTGCTCTCTAGTTAAGTGTGCTAACTGCTACACTATGAAACCACACATAGCACATTCTTTCCCAATGACATAGCCATTGACCAGCAACTCTGATTTTCTGACAAGCTAACAGTGGTGGGTTTCTTGATGGATTTTGTAAACTGGCTTACCAAGGATTACATTCACTGTGACAATGAAACAATAGTCCAATGTGGATTTTTCCGGAAAATCATTTCCTTTAGCAACTCAAATATCTGTTTCCTTTATGTCCGTTTTGACTGTTCCTTTCTGTTTCTGTTTACGTTCTGCCTGTTCTCAGTGAACACAACAATGATAAACAATAAGGTTCGCCTGTGTGCCTGCGGGCCAACCTGTAGAATTAGCAGCATCTGTGTCACAGAAGGGGGGACGCGGGCCCGAGGTCGAGTCAGCGCATCCTCTAACTTTACACTTAAGGCTATGGTGTTCCTGAAGTGCAGCAGAGCCAGCTGTCGCACAGAGGGTTCCTTTCCCTGCAGACATCAAGGACAAGGTAATATTAGAATTCAGCCTCACGGTCGGCAAACAGTAGAAACAAGTAAGACTCTAAAGATGTTTGTGTACTTGAACAGGATGAAAAATGGCCTGCAGCATTGACAGAACATCACAGAAGAAGAAGTCCCACGTGTCCGCCAGAGAGTCCAGTAGCTTCTGACCTGCAGCAATTACAGGACAAAAATGAAAACCACATTGCACCTAACAACCCCAGCAGTAGTTTTTCACAAGTCTTGTGTCGTAAAGCAGCTGTACCTTCGTAGAACCGTATTTTGTCCCGCAGGATGACCATACCTTTTGTCAACAACTGGTTCTAAAAAAGAAGGCAATAACTATGAACACCCAACGGAGCTATCGCCAGGGGACTTGGTTTGTCTCATCAGTGGGTTTTGTGTTACCTGCAGGTATTCTGTAAAAAAGGACCCGAGCTCCGTCTTCAACAGATGCCTGAGAAAACAAATACCATTATACAGCAACGAGTCCCACGAGTCAAAAAGTTTGCCCACGTCTGGGTTAGCATTATTACATATAAACATTTTCTTGTTTTGTGCTAGTGCTCAAAAAGAAAAGGAAGGAAAGTGAACTCCATGTCATTGTGACATTGTGACACTGCACACAACCAAATGTGACCTCTGCTTTTAACCCATCACCAAGGTGAACAGTGGGCAGCTTTAAGCGCCCTCAGTGGTAACTTGGCAGCTGGTGGTCTCAACCTGAAGCCTCCTGGACCTAAGTCCAGAAGATCCCACCTAAATGTTGGTAATTTAGCTGAGTATTTTGTAGGATACATTAAATTATTATTATTTCTATTTTTTGGTATAAGAAAAAGAGAGAGAGAGAGAGAAAGGGGGAAGGAGGTCAGGGTAATGTGACTGGGTTTCAAGAAATATTTTTTTTATCTCTCTTTGGTTTCTGTGAAAAGACTTGCTGTAGTATAATGTAGGCCAGAGTGATAGGAGGGACAAATCTGGTTCAGTGAGATAATGAAGTATCTGGCTGACCACATGACTCCCAAGGCCCCCACAAACACACACATTCATTTAAAAAAGTCATTCACTCTGAGGGAAAATGGACAGGCCTATAATCAAACTAAATACAGCACCAAATGTCAAAAATTATTGATTAATTTAATTTTTTTTGCTCCGTTTGTTTGAAGAAACTCACCGGACACCTTCATTGAGAACATACAGTTCATTGTCTGCCAGGCTTTTCTTCTGGAAGACTGCTATGACAGCATTGTGGATACTGAAACAACACACACACACACACACACACACACACACACACAAGCTTACATTAATACGTTAATCATTGTCATGGAACACGCGTTTAAAGACAACTTTCCTGGTATTTGCTGTACCTGTTCCAGGTGGCGTTGGCTCCTGCTCTCTTCTGCCTCTCCCGACTGTCCTCAGGTGAACTTTTCTCACTTTTCCCCAGCTCACTGAGACTAGGGGAGCTCATCAACTTCAGCCGGTGCAAAGTCCTCATGAGGGAAAGATAACCGAAGGGAAGAGTTCAGTAAATAAGCGTGTACACAGGTTAGTGTGTGTTGAGAATTTTTTTTAAATAATTAGAAGTTGAAGATAATACAAAGGAAAGAAGAGGCACTGAAGGGGGGCTGACAGGGGGGCACACAGGCAAAGCAAGCTTTAGAAGGGCACAGGCAGAGATGCACAAAGACAGAAAAAGAACAATAAAAAGATAAGAGTGTTCAGCGTGGAGCACGGAAAAGAAGTAGGACAGGATGATGTGTGTTGAGACAGAAATAAGTTCAAAGCATGGTGGGTGGAGCCGAGGAGAGGTTGGCCATATTGTCAATGAACAGCCTCGGAGGAGAGAGAGAAACAATAGAATAAGCACTGATGGGGGTCACGCTCCTCCTGTACTCCCTGCCCCTGTGTCACTACAATACAGCCATTGATAGAAACAAATATTTATGCAGAGCTGAGATGCCGGACAATGTGCAGGGGAAGCAGAGTGAAGTAGGACGAGATGAGGTGGAGGAAGAAGAAGAACAAACAGCTTACTATCAGAAACAAAAAAAATTAAAGCTGCGAAAGATGATAAGAGCCCTCACACATTTGTGCGAGGTGCATGCAGGGAACGGTGCGGAATGGATTTCTGTCTGTGTTTGTGATAAGATAGAATAGGTATAAGATAGGTAGGTTTCAGCAGACTTTTGTGATACTGCTTGTAAAAAAGTAATAAATCAGTGTCCAGAGTCTGTATATATATATATATACATATATAAACTTGGAAGAAAATTGGCAAAAAATTCCATCCTAATTTTTCAACACCTGGCTAATGAAATTCCATGGAACATTATATTTTTAAATGGTTTTGAATACTCGCCAAATGTTGATTAATGTTGAATCCAGTAACCGATTCTTACCTTCTTATTGGGTGCTCATTTCCGGTTTCAAAGTCTGGGCTAGAGGCCGAGGCAGAAAAGGTGCTGAAGTTAAGAGACAAAGGTCGGGGGGAAGGTCTGGAGGCATGCCTCCGTCGCAGTCCATCAAGCATCTAAACAAAAGACAGGCGAAATTCAGATTTCCTCTTTTAGGAATTTGAAGGCACCTATGACAGAGAGGTTTTTTTTTAAATCTTATTTTCACAACATTCATAAATGTTATGGAATAGTATTTCATACACTTAAGATTTGTATTCACTTGTTAATTCATTATATACGCTAATATTTACTAGACAAATATGCTTTGCTAATGGCAGACGTGAAAGGGGGGTGACCATAATGGGTTTAAGGGCTGAAAGAAATGTAACCATACCTTTAATAATGACGTATTACAACCAATGTCTACAGGAGACCAAGACAGAGTCTGTCTATATTTGACAATATTAAAAGAAAGTTAGCATACTGTATATTGCCGTGTTCTAATGTGTAAAAAAACATGCTATGCTAACATCTTTCAGAAATGTGCTAATAAAAAAATATGAGTAGCCTTAATCTTTACAGCCAGACACTTTGTGGAGAACCAAATGCTGGCACAGGTTTGTCCTCTAAGAGTGCTTCCTGTGAGGTTTAGAAGAGACATTAAACAGAAATGCCTGACTCTCTGAACTAGTTGCAGTTGTTAGCTATGGAGATAATGAGTACAACCAGGTAAATTGTTAGCAACGGAACAGGTACAAACAGTATTTTAGTGTTGAGCCTTCATTGGGGGAGGGGAGGAGACAAAAGAAGAATCAAGGGCTAATCCTTACAACACAACAGTGTTTCGCAATCAGAGCTCAACCCACACCTCCTCCTTTACTACTATCATGCAATAGCATTGCGGGAAGCAGAGAGCTGTGCGTGTGTGTGCACGTAGGCCACTCTGGATTATTCTCGTAAAAGGCCACGTAGTCACGGCGCTGATGTCTCCCCCAGGATGGCATTATTAGTATTTGATTCTATTTGGGTGTCTCCCCATAGAAACGTACGGTGCAGTGTGAAGCACCATCCCCTGGTCAGACTGAGAACGGCAGTCTGGGCTGTCACTCCAGACAAAGACAAAACACAAACCGACCTGCGAGCCACTGATAAAGGGCCAATTCGTGTTTCTTGTGAAAGGATTGACATGCGGCTGTTTGATTAATGGGGGATCGCAGATGTAGAACAGTTTACACACTATATTCCCGACATGCCACGCCACCCCATTCCAGTCTTTTTCGCTATTTAACCCATTTTCTCTCCATGTGTTTCACTCTACTAGGCACAAATGTATATTGACACGAGATAGCCACTAGGACACTTGGACAGTCCACGCTTACGACACACGGAGGTATGCGCTGGCAGCCACTGCTTTTTTAACCTGTGTGGTCAAAAAGCACGGTCGTGTGTCACTGTAAGACACAAACGCCATACGCAGATGAAGAAACAGTCCACACCAGGGCTAAAACAGCACCACGATGGCTACAAAGTTACCGTGGTTTGTGCGCCTCTGCCCACCCACTGCACTCACCGTTGCTTCAAGCAGTCGTGTTGTTCCTGACGGGATGAAACGCTCACACGGAACCTATGGCTTTTCTTCACAGTCCGGGCTCATCAGCTGGACAGTTCTCCGTCCGTCCTAGCTGACATCAGGGCAGAGCTGGAAAGGCTATGAGTATGGGCTGCGGTGCAGCGGATGCGGACTCATTCATGAAGCACGCACCGCTCTGTCTCTACAGCCAGGTTCTCCTCTGCTTTGTTTTGACGAGATGAAACGCCAACCTGGGCGCATGAACGCGGCCTAGAGCGCCACGTGGACGCGCACTGTTTTGGCGTAATCACAAACATTCAGGGGCTCCAGAGGACATATTGATAACAACAATAATAATAATTGTTATTATTATTATGACTATGTTGTAGGAACTATAGTGTGTCTCTTGATGTCTCATGCTAACTCTACACTGATCTGATTCTGGACACAATATTGACATTTTACTTGTTCTTGTGTATCCTTATCATCTCTCAGTACAGACAGATAGAGTACTCTGTGTTTGATATCAGCCTGAAATACAGAACAAAAACACAACACTTCAACACTTAGTTAGCAGAATGGTAAAACAAATTAACAGCTAGATACTGTTGGTGTCAGCAGTGTTGTGTTGTAGACTGCTACAACACCGTGGCCTGGAAGCTAACAGGTAATATGAAAGCACAAACCACATTTACAAACATGACAACACAATTGTGTCCACGCAATGATAATGAAAAGTATGGTCATATAGTATTCTGATTGTACTAGTTTGACCAGGATAAATATACGTAATAGAGGAAGAGAGGTGACACTCAATATAAACAAAGAAGTAGAATTTGAAGGTGAACAAATGAAAAATTGGAAAGTGACTCATTATTGACTGGTTTCTGTGATTAAGTTCCCAATCTGTGGCACGACATGATGGTACTATGATTGTATTTATTGTTAGACATTGGCTTTTGTATATGCTGGGGCATCATAGAGAAGAGAGAAAAACCCTGGTCCATCACACAACAAACAAAGTGGAGGTGATTTAAGAACAGTGAACCTATTATTATTATTAACCTTAAAATGATTCAAGTTTTCTGATATGGTGCCTTAGGTAGGAATGGGGTGTGGTCAAATGCTGTCAAAAAAACTAGTTCAGATGTGTTTAGAGATGCCCTTCTGTATATTAATATTTTAGCAGGTGTTAAGTCATTGTTGTAGCTTGGACAAGTCTGTCTGGCCATTTTTCTTTTACCTGGAGCATAATTTTACAATGAACAATTGCAATGTTACAGATGGTTACTTTACTTTGCTCTCTTATATTAGAGCTCTTTTTTTGCTTTAACAACAACTTTTCTTAAATATAAATTTTGTCATTATGTTGCACTATGTCTTAACAACCACACAATGTAAAGATAGATGATGTGGTTTATTAATTATCAACTTCCCATTTCTCTTCAGGCATTGAGGAGGAAACAGCAGCTACAGCAGTGTCTACTGTGTCAGTCTAATGAAAAAATCATGGTGATTTAACACGGCTGCCTCTGTGGGGAAAAACACTGCTTCTGATGCAAATTAAACAAAACCTCATTCAGAAGCAGTTAAAAAAACCAAACAAATTGATATGATTGTATACTCACTGTATGATGCAAACTATTGTGTTAACCATTAACGTCGATAGAAATCGGTTACAAAATAATATCACACTACTTTTTTTTTACCTACATAGCTTTAGTATAACGACGGAACGTACTGTATTTCCTGAAAGGCAGTGAAGGGCGCACAGTTAGACTCCTCCTTTTCCGGCTACCGAGGCGGGAAGTTGAGTTTCGTCTGTTTGTTTTTGTGTAACACCCGACAGCAGAATGATAACTGGTGAGTTTGTATTTATATGCACGTACATACTGTACAGAATGACAAAATAACAAAGGTTTACTTATCAAAATGCTGCATTAACAATAGGAAGTCATGTTAAACCAATGACGGTAGCATTGTGGTGCTAGTTTAAAATTTCAGTCAGCGTCAAAAAAGCAGTGTTATTAGTAGTATGACGCGTAACATAAGCCCTGACAGTAGTTACATAGTAATTGTAGTATATTAACTGCCATGGTTACTGTTTGTTTCAGAGAACATGCCCAGTCACCTGACGGAAAGCAACAGCTCTGAATCCAGGAACTTCGGTCAGGTCAGTCTGTAGAGAAACATCACAAACTCAACTCTTGAGTATCTTTGAATTTACGAGTTAAAGAGGTTCAGTCACAGCATAGAACAACATCATATATACTGTATAAGTAATTTGTATTATAAAAATTAACTAACCCCCAAAACATTCACATTGAGTGGACACTCTAAATTAGGGGTCCCCAACATGGTGCCCGGGGCACCTAGTAGCCCCCGTGGACTACCTAAGGTGTTCTGAAAATAAAACTAGTCAAGAGGATTGTGCTTTTTGAATCAGTTATAAACGTTCTGTAAAAATCTGAAACTACCTGGATCAAAATTCTAAGCCTCTTGATTCTCTCATAATTTATATTTTCCGAATGAGAACCTAATTCAGGAATAAAACCCTAACCTCCAACCTGGTGTCCTCTAAACTGCAGACTTTCATCTTCCGAACTGAACTTAATTAGAACTAACTGTGCTGACACTCCTGTCTCTGAGAAGCCGCTTAAGACAGAGGCAGTCAATCAAACAATCATCTTCGCTTCTATTTCTAAAGAGAAGTTTGTTATACACTCATTGACGTTTTTGACAGTGTACTTACACAGCTGAAGAGTACCAGGCAGTGCACAATGCTCTGCGCCAGCGGCTGGGACCAGAGTACATCAGTACCAGATTGGCTGGCGGCGGACAGAGGGTTTGTGCTATTTTTTTTACCCTACAATTGTTTATGTTTAGTTTGTTGTTCAACAAAATAAAATCTCTTTCAAACAGGTGTGCTACGTCGAGGGGCATCGCGTCGTCAGCCTGGCAAATGAAATGTTTGGGTACAACGGGTGGTCTCACTCCATCTCTCAGCAGAACGTTGGTACGACTGTGTGCTGTTTTCAACAGAGAACACATTTGTAGGAACGCGCCGCTTCAGAATCACAGCTGCTATGTTTGTGGTTTTCAGACTTTGTTGACCTCATCAATGGGAAATTTTACGTTGGAGTGAGTGCTTTTATTAAAGTGACACTGAAGGTTAGTTGATTTTATTATTTTTAAGAAATGCTTCATTTAAATGAAACCTCTGCTTTACTCACATGCACCTGCTTTCTCAGGACGGTGCATATCACGAGGATGTAGGCTACGGTGTAAGTGAGGGACTCAAGTCTAAAGCTCTGTCACTGGAAAAAGCAAGAAAGGAAGCCGTCACTGATGGCATGAAGAGAGCACTGAGGTACTGGAGTGTATCATTTTAATAATCACAGAGAGAAGAAACAAAATAAATTCGAGTGATTCTCTAACACTTGTGGGTGTTTTGTTGCTTAGGTGCTTCGGTAATGCTTTGGGTAACTGCATTCTGGATAAAGAATACATTTTAGCTATAAACAAGATTCCCAAACAGGTATATTACTGTTCATAAAATGTATTTTTCAATTTTAAGTGTATTTCTAATTTCATATTTTTGGATCCTAAATCCTGTTTTTTTCCCCCTCCACACACAGCCTCCCGCTCCTCTCAACCCAGACCAGACGAAACGCTCTGAGGGCGAGCCCTCGGTGGAGAAGGCCCGGGTTTTCAGTCTAGTCAAGGAGGAAAAGGTCGTGTCTGCTGCCAGCCTGGCCCAGGTGCGATCGGAGTCCAGACCAAACGCCCTAAACCAGATGTCTTTGGAAGTGAATACTCCAACCAGTGACCCTGCTCCTGACATCTCCAGGTAAACAGCAGATGTTTTGTTTGTTACACAGAATGATGCAGCTACGGCAAAGAGTTGTTCAAACTATGCTAAGGTGAGCTGTTCAGACCAGTAAGATGTAGTTTGGTGTCATGTCAAGAAGATAACATTTGATTTGTGTCTTAGTAGTGTGAAGGGGACTGTGTTTCTGTTAATCTGACAAATATAAGCAGTATAGAAGGAGAGCCAGATAATGTGTGGAGATGTGCTGTTGTAGTGTCAGATTGGTTTAAGGTAGGGTTACTTTAAGGCATAATATTTCTGGACAGACACCTTGAGGGCCGTACAGTAAAATAAAATGACGTAAAAATCACATTTTGGTCCAACATTATTATTATTATTATTGTTATTATTATTAATATTATTATTGTTATTTGATGTTTATTTTAGAATCCATTTGTGGGCAGGATTAGATGTTTCGGTAGGCCGGATTTGGCCCACGGGCCCCCAGTTGATCATTATTTTAAAGGCTATGCAGCAGTGTTATTAGCAGAGTTATCATAAGAAGTTCGACATTTGTGTGTTATAATAAAGTATATACATTTTTACTAGTGCGAAATGTAATGAAAATGCGCACAAGGAAAATAAGTCATTATTTGGCATGGACACTCATACACTGGACTATAATCCCACAAAAGTATTTTATCTGTAAGATTTCATGCAGTTTTGAGAGAAAAGCAACAAAATTGATATTTGCAAAAAGTATTTCTCTAATGCTTTCCACACATTTTTAGAATTTAGTTATTTGTTTATTATTAATCATAAATCAAATTTTACTAGTTAACACCAGTGTAGCCTAATCTGACAGAACACGTTTGACCCTAGTCCTTTCTGTCCTCTCAGAGAAGACGTGGACGGCACAGTATCTGACCCGAAACTGCAGAGAAAATTACGACAACAGCAGTTACAGCAGAAGTTTAGGAAGGAGATGGAGGCAAAGAAGCTGCAGCTGGAGGTGGATCAACCAAAGTCAGAGGACAAAGAGTTTGCAATTGGACAAGGACCCAACAGAGGTAAAAAAAGAAAAAGAAGGGGGTCTTAAAATATAAAGAACCCAGATGACAATTACTCCAGTATGTGATCAACAAAGTTTATTATTATTAGTAGTATTATAATAGATTTCTCAGTGTAAGGGCTGGTCTTTTCATTAAGGTGGGTTTTTTTCACAGGTGACGCAAGAGGTTCTACACTGATCCACAGGAGTTCATCTGGACCCAGCAGCAAGGAAGATAATTTAGCAGGTACCGTGAACTACCAGCAGAGGGCACCACAAAGTTGAGACATTATGGTGAGATGTCTTCTTGCTCAAGGGCTGATTTTCTTTTTCTTTAAATTTCCTCCTG